TCAGCTAAATTAACGGTAGATTATTAATAATTGAAAAGAATAGTACCTATGTGCATTGCCTGAGCTGGCTGTATATTTAAGCACTTGCAAAAACAGTTCATCAAACCCTTTTTATGGTTTTTTGTATAATTTGTGTAATTTTTAGAGCATCTAAACCGGTATTATTTAGCATGGCACACAGAATCGAGCAGGTTGTGGGGCAATGAGCTGGCAGATTGTGTATGGTTGAGGCTGATAGCTGGTTGGTTGGTTTGATGGAAGCTGTCTCACTGAAGCCCATGTTGAGATTCTGTTCACATCGGCTAAACCCAGCCGGCGTTTCTGCCTCTGGCTTCTGCAGGCTGGTGTGGAGCTCACAAAGGCTCTTTGAGGACTCAATCTGCAGTCAGAGACTATGTGATTTATCTAATGCTGTAAATGAAGGTATGCTGGATTTTTTATTTATTTATCAGGCGAGTTAAGGAAGCATATATCATGTCTTATTGAGGAGTGCTATTACTCAGGTTTAGGTAGAGTTTGACACGTCTGGATATTTGGGTAGGCTTTTTATTTTTCATGCGGATATTGAAATGTTTGTCAAAATAAATATGTGATTGCCACAGTCTATTAAAAATGTTCCATTTTCTATAAAAAATATCTTAAATAATTTTCAAATATTTATAAAAATAGTATGATTGCGAGTTTGATATTGCTATACAACAGTTCCATAAACAAATTTGAATATTGAACAGCAAAATTCTAGATTAACAATATTAGAAAAAAATATTCCCAGATCCAACTGGTTTAGGGTTATGGATATTTGTTTTATGTTTTAATTGAACTTTTCTCAAATGAACAAAATGAGTTAAATTAGTTCATTAGTCCAGATTAGTTCATTTTTAAAGAACCAGCTCAATAAAATGTGATCTTGCCACCAATTATTGTGCATCTTTATGTTGGTGCTTTGTTTCTGAATAAATCAACATGTTGTTTGAGTGAATGATTCAGTGACTCGATCCTAAAGAAAGTCACTTGTTTATTTCCTGATCAATTGGCATGTCATATTGAATCAGTCGAATGATAAATGACTCACTTGTTACCACCTATGTAACCTGTAGAAAGAGCCACTGAAAAATATGTAAATGTGTATTTGTTTATATAATTGATATATATATACAAACCTCTTCCTTTTATATGTAAGGCCACTACAGCCTTTAAAAATTAGGTTCATCGTCAGACTCATATTCTTGCATGGAAGCACAAGTTTGACACCATTGTCAACCTTTTTTTCTTGTACAGCTGTACATTTAGCTACAAAGTCATGAAGTATTCCTTCCAGATCACATTACACTGTGGTGTCCCATCTTTTTTAGCACACTCGCCCACCATATCTCCATTTTCTCAATAAGATTTAGCTCTGCATTTATCGCTCTGGACACAGGCAGCATAGTCATGATAATTCTCATCCCATTTTATAATGTCTGCTATGCAATCTCTTCATCTGCCGCCAGTGGAAGGGGGGGAAGCACATTATCTATGGCAGAGTATTATAAGAGATTATCCCTGACAGATCTTTTCCCCTGCAGGCACCATTAACCAGGCTTCGGCCCACTTGATATTTCTACCACCTGTGACCGTCATCCGCTGGGCACAAGAATTATTGCCATTGTATTTTTTCCCTGCTCTATAAATTAATCATGTAAGGAACTACTCTGAATCCGGTAGGACAGTGACCAAGAAACTCCTTCCCTCCTTCCCCAAAGATGCCAGAGACATCATGAATCGTTTAAACGTGGGATGGCTTTTGACACAGAGATAACGCTCGTGGTTGTCCCAGTATGGTTTGATTCATATTATATGCTTTAGACAGAAACAGGAAGCTTTTTTTTTTTGTGACTTTGAAATGTACGAGAGCCCCGGATGGATGACGAATAGCGATCTGACCTCTCTCTGAAGTGAGCGGGGACTGCTGACAAGACTGAAACATAAATTAGCATTGATCATTTATGCCCAACATGCCACCTTAATGATTTGAGCCTTACAGGGCTTGTTAGACATCTTGTGGAAATAGATTATAATGGTCTTACTAGATGTCCCAGAAGTCCAGAAACTCTCGATTGTTTTTCAAACGGCACATGGTTCTCGGTACATTCAAGGACATCATTTTAGCGTCATTAATGTTGTATTCCGAGGGACTTTTTTTAACGTAAGGAATTAATGCTTGCGGATCTTCTACCTTATTTTTTTTCCCCGAGTGCCTTAAAATAGGTGTCATTTGTACGTAAGCCTTTACCCTCTTTTCAAATTATGATAAAGCAGAGCAGCATGTATATCAGTTATCTAATTCGAGCATATTAAACACACCTCAAAGGACAGCGTTGCAGGGAAGTAGGATTGAATGAATTGATCTGAAGAAGCACGAAAACGGGTAGCATGCAGGGAATCAAATGTGCAGGTCAAAGTAAGATCTTCCCCCATTGCGCATCTATAGTTTCATACTTCATTTCGCAAACTCACCGGTTATAGATCACCCTTATGCATCTCATAAGGAAAGACATCAAACAAATATCCGGCTATTGACCTGTCCTCCCAGACTTGATTGAGACTCATAGCGGGCTGCAGGAGCAGAATGACAAACAAAGGAGGCAGGAGGTTAAAAAAATGGAAACCAAATCGATAGAGATGACTGAAATGACGAAGGACTTGAAGGTCAGAGCTCGTGGTCCCTTAGAGTAGATAATACAGGAACATAATCAATCTCATCTAATTTAATCTCTCCCCCCTTCTCAGACCTGATCTGCACTCTATTTTTTCCTTCGATTGTCGGGTCTTTTTCATTTTCTACCCAACAACTGAGCTGCTCTTGAGATTATTATTAATATTTGAAAGAAGTCAGTTAAATGGGCTAAATAACAATACCAATACATGAAGATGGTGCTTCATATGTTCGTTATTTAGAATAATTTGATGCTTTGAAACAATACTGGTTCTTTAATGATTCAGTACAATGCTGATGCTTCACGAATGTTTATTGTTTTAAAACTGATTTGATACTTCCAAACGATGATGGCATTTCAAAGCAATACTGATGCTTCAGTACAATGTTGATGCTTTAAAACGTCAAAATAATATTGAGACTTAACGGTTCAAAGCAGTATTGCTTCAAAAGTACTTGTAATTCAAAACCGATTTGATGCTTCAAAACAATGTTGATGCTTCAAAGCAAGTTCTTCCAAAACAATCCTGATGATTCAAAACAATATTGATGCTTCAGTAGAATGTTGATGCTTTGAAACTTCAAAATGAAATTGAGACTTGTAAAAATTTCTGATGCTTCAAAGCAGTATTGTTTAAAAAATACTGGTAATTCAAAACCGATTTGATGCTTCAAAGCAAATTCTTCCAAATCAAGCCTGATGATTCGAAACAATACTGATGCTTCAGTACATTGTTGATGCTTTAAAACTTCAAAATGAAATTGAGACGTAACGGTTTTGATTCGAAGCAGTATTGTTTCAAAAATACTGGTAATTCAAAACAGATTTGATGCTTCAAAACAATGTTGATGCTTCAAAGCAAATTCCTCCAAAACAATACTGAAGCTTCAGTACAATGTTGATGCTTTAAAACTTCAAAATGAAATTGAGACTTGTAAAAAGTTCTGATGCTTCAAAACAGTACTGTTTCAAAAATACTGGTAATTCAAAACTGATTTGATGCTTAAAAACAACAGTGATGCTTCAAAGCAAATTCTTCCAAAACAATCCTGATGATTCGAAACAATACTGATGCTTCAGTACAATTTTGATGCTTTGAAACTTCAAAATGAAATTAAAACTTGTAAAAAGTTCTGATGCTTCAAAGCAGTATTGTTTCAAAAATACTGGTAATTCAAAACAGATTTGATGCTTCAAAACAACGTTGATGCTTCAAAGCAAATTCTTCCAATACAATCCTGATGATTCAAAACAAAACTGATGCTTCAAAGCAGATTTGATCCTTCTAAACAATGGCAATGCTTCAAAGCAATTCAAATGATTAGAAATAAACTATACTAAACAATATTGATCCTTCAAGGTTTGGTAATGCGTTCGAAGAAAATGAAGAGAAGTCTGAATGTTAAACACGTCATGCATTACGATGACTTTCATGGCTTATTGGAAATGTGATGTCCCCAGTGTTCATATATCGCTCATAAACCACAAGCTGTTCCGCAGTCAGAAATGTCAAAAATGTTACTCTCATTTGCAAGACATTTGTTACAGTTTGACACTTAAACCGCACGTCCCACTACGGGCCGTATTTGTAAAAGCCAAAGCGGTGGCGTTGACCCTTATAAATTAAAGTGGGTATTTGACAACACTGATGTGCTTTAAAGAGTATTGAATTCCTGTGAGGTGGATGAATTGCACGCCGCCGACTCAAAAAGAGGGAGGGCTGATGCCGTATAGCTTACTCCTCTATCATATTCACTGCCCTTTCAAAGTGTATCACCTCCCCTATCGAATCATAATCCTGTTCTGAGATACGGCGGGCTGAAAATGAAATATGTTTGCAGGTTTATAAATGTATCACACGCTCCCCCCCTCCTCCCCCCTCCCCCTCCAGTGTAAGTGTGTAGAACCAATACTTTTAGCACAATCCAAACATTGCCTTTGGCAGCTGAATATGTGTTCAGGTTTTGCTGCCGTAAGCCAGTGAGGATTTTTCCATATCTCTCTTAGGCCCTCGCTCTCCCCGGGTCTGTCTATCTATCTCTCCCTCTCTGATTCCCTCGACTTCCTGGGAGATATATTGAGGGTATATGCTCAGTATTCACACTGCAGAGTTGATCAGCTGTGAGCTGGCCCATAGGCATGGAATCCTGTCTGTCCTTATTTGGATGAATGAATTATTAATATTTCACTGGTTGATCTGAATGTACAGTACATCTCCTCTTGCTTGTGTTGTTTTGTTTTTATAATCTTTTGCCTCTCTCTCTCTCCCTCTCCCTCTTGCCCTGTCCCTTGCTCATTCCGCAGCCAACAAAGCTGACTTCACATAGGAGGAACACGACTTGCTTCTCTTGCAGTTGAATGGAAATCTGTGACCTTGGAAGATGAAGATGTTGTTGCCATGGGAACTCTTAATCCTGCTGTCACTCAAGAGCTGCCTAGCAGGTACGATATCCCCCGAGTTGCCTTTGATAGCTCACCTGTTCTGCATAGTCCCCACTTCAGCAGGGAGAGTGGCTTTTCATGCCTCTCTCTAATCATTTCCACATTCCTCTAGAGACAGATGCATGCTGGGAACAAGCGCTTGTGGTTGCCCCAGCAGGACGTTTGTCTTGACACAGTTTCTGATTGTTCTCTTCAGCAATAACTTGTACAGTAACTTATATTGGCATGCTTTATTTGTTCATAATAATAGACTAGCATAGGGACTTTGAAGAATGTTCTGAAGTAGTTTGGTTTTAATTTTATATTAGACTTTGAGTGGTGACCAGTCATCCAAAATGCGTTTACAATCAGACATTTACATTTATTGAAATTGCATAAATAGTTTTTGTTGTTTTTTTACTTGCTTTCCCAGCCAGTTCTCATCCCAAGGCGTCATCTAACTGACGCTTTTGACCGTCAATATCGTCAATATTGCGTCAATATGAGACCCTACCCCAGACCTAAACCTACCCGCTAAAGGTAAAGCGTCAGTTAGATGACACCCCAGGATAGCGCCATCTAACTGACGCTAAAGCGTCGGATGTTGAAAGTGTCAGTTAGATGACGCCTTGGGATGAGAATGTGTTGGTTTTCCATCTAAAAATATCTAAGAAACAACATGGCATAAGATTTTTTTTAGTAACACTTTACAGTAAGGTCTCATTTGTCAAAATTAGTTAATGCATAAGCTAACATAAACTAACCATGAGTAATATTTTAAAATAATTTATTAATATTTGTTAGTAAAAATATAGTTGTTTGTTCTTGTTTGTTCTCAGTGCAATATAACTAATGTTAACAAATGAAACCTAATTGTAAAGTGTTATTTATAAGTTTGCGAATATATAAATGTATTCAGTCTTACTGCACTGGCAGATTTTTTTTTCTTTAAAATAAGTGAAAAATCCTGTTGGTACAGTAAGAAATACTCTCATTAAAGATACATTCTCTGAAAGTCTTAATATTTTATGCAATGTTTGCTCTCAGAAAAATGTATCTTGTTTCAAGGATTTCTGAATCAATTTGCCAACGTCAAAGGCTGAACAAAAACAATGCATGATAGAAATTACACTGGAAAAAAATTCTGAAAATCCTTGAAACAAGATAAATTTACCTAAGAGGCAACAATGCACAAAATATTGATACTTTTTTACAGAGATTGTATCTTTTGAGTATATTTTTTCTTGTGTTTCTGCACTGGTAGTAGAACAAACCTGCATCCCACCAGTTGAAGACCTCTCTTTTAACAGAATATTGATAGAGTTAGACAATACTCTTGCGATGAGCTATAACATACAAAATGTTCTTATTATTTGTCCTATGGTTTGTGAGACTCACAGCACATAAGGAAGGGGCCTTCTGAAGAGGCAGGTGCCCCATTTAAATGAACCAATGTCCCCCACTCAGTGCCAGTGCTCCAGTTATTGCCGTTGTTGTTCTACAGTAACTATGCCAACTCAAATGGGCATTTGCATTCAAGCCACAGGTGCTCTTTTGATTGCACAGCTTGATATTCAGAAAGCTTAGCTGGAGAGAAGGAAGTGCACAGGCCAGACCGCATCAGATAGAAGGGCAGAAGCTATTCAGCAAGGAGACCAACCAAACACATACTGTATCTAACAACCTGCCAGATCCTAGCTTTGAAGGCAGACTTTGATGAAACGTGTGCATAAAAGCTGTGTAGAAATGAACTGATAATGAAGAAATGAACGTAGCCTATTTAGGTTATATTGAGTAAATGAATAATAGTGATATAACATAGTGAAATAGTTATTCAACATTCAGACACTGAATATGAATGTAGTTAATATTCAAACAATGAATGGACCTAAGGATGTGGTTATAGTAATAAGAAGTTATTAAACTAGGCTGAATGTCCCTTTATTCATTGTAAGTAAGTCAATTATTAATAACATTATGATTAGAAATAAAATGTACAAAATCATTTAGGCAAAAAATTCATATTGAGGAACTCGTGTCTCATTACATAACGGAACAGGCATTCTTGTCGAAACGATTCAGATGTTCAAATGAAATTGTGACGTTATTTTTGAAATGTTTTTAATCAAAAACACAGTAATATTTTGAAATATTGTTGCAATTTAAAATGACTTTACTGTGTTACATTATTCTTGTGGTGGCAAAGCTGAATTATCAGAAGCCGTTTATCCAGTCTTCAGTCACATGACCCTTCAGAAATCATTTGGTGATTTGCTGCTTATTTCCAATTATCACAGATAAAAACTGCTGTGCTGCAGAAGAACGGCATTTACCTGTTTTTGAAATAGATTTGTTGTAACAATATAAAAGTCTTTACTGTCAATTTTAATTATGTATTAAATATGTCCTTGCTAAATAGAACCCGAATAGACATGGTGAAAAAAATATGGAAAAACTGTATTTCGATGGTTTTGCGTTTATTCGCAAATGTTTAGTGTTTCCCTGAGAAACTGTGTTCGCATTCCCTCGCAAAAAGTTTCAAAGGGAAACACTAAATATTTGCGAGAGAATGACATTGACATACAATTCCCCATGACATGTAAGCAATTCCCAAAAGACATGTAAACATTTTAATGTTTGCATAAAAAAAAACAGATTCCAGATCACATCTGATTACTTTACCCACTATAATTAAAGCCACACTATGCAGGATTTCCGTTTTTGTCAAACTGTGACCCCTAGAGTCACTGTGGAGTACTTGTACTGTCGTAAATAGCAATGTCTCTGCACACACGGCCTGAGACCATAGATATCTGTATAAAGGCTAGATATCTCATCCATGCTGCTGGCCAATGGAGGTCGACGTCTGCACCTGGCGGCCATCTTGTCACAGGCAGCTCGCTCACTCATTACATTGTGCTAATGGTACATGTACTATTAAAATAACCATAACTTGCTAAATTTTCTACCGATTTTCAAACGGTTTGGTTTGTTATAATCGTCAGAGATGTAGTTATGACACAGCATACTTATGACTAATAAGTGTATAAATAAATAATCATCCAGATAATTATAGCCACGTTAATAGCCAATTGTTAATAGCCAAACCGTTTGTAAACATATCAAGTTTCAAGGAGATAAGAGTATTTGTGTGTTGACCACTCGTCTTACATCAGCTTACCTGTGACAAGATGGCTGCCGGTGATGACGATAGAAACTCCGCTTTAAGACATCTAGCCTTTATATAGATATCTATGGGTGAGACGCCAAACATTCAACATGAAAATAGTCATATAACCCAAAAATATGGACAAAGCGTCTGTGATGTCCCCCATAGACTTTCTGAAGAACGGGTTTGAGGCTGTTTATGGGGGGTATGGGCGGCAAAAATCTGGAAAATCTTGGGAAATGAAAATACAAATGTTCAGAAAGGATACAGAGGTGGTATGATGTGTTGTGTCAGATCATGGCCGAGACGTCAAATTCCACTCGGCGCAGCCTGTTATCAGCTGTCAATCAAAGTTAACCGCCCTTATTTGTCATACATTTTATATCTAAATCCGATCTAAACTAATGAGTTAGAAAAAAATTCACCCCCCTCACAGTTGTCAGGCACGCGGAACATATTGAAGATTACAATAAAAGTCCATGGGACCAAACTGTAAAAACATGAATATATGCTGTGAAAACGGACATTTTAACATGGGGTATATAGACATTTGCTCCCTTTTGGGATTTTCGATGTATTGCAGTTTTTCGCACTTCCGGGTAGGCTTCATGTTTCAGATTAGAATGTTGCCGCTTGATATAACCATTGCAATAACTCAGAAGCTATTCAGCTAGGGTAAAAAAAAACTACATAGTGCTGCTTTAACTACACAGTGAATAAATAGCCCTGCTCAAGAACTATAGATGCTTCTTTGTATTATCCTGCATTTATCCCTGAGCAAAATTGCCCAAGACTAAAAGTGATGGGGACATGTCCTCACCGCAAGATGACACATAAACGTGTAATACTGCAAGTGTGCTACTCCTCGCTCTAAATGCTTCATTAATTCCCGTCGTTCAAAGGACACGCAAAAGGGAAAGTGAAAAAGGTAGCATCTCCCCCAGCGTTGAGGAGGCGGGGCCCTCACCCCAGGCAAACACGCCTGGACACTTCCATTAGCTTGATGATGTGGGAGGGTCATTTCTTTGTGTCCTCATCAAGGTTAGAAACCTGTAAAAAAAAGAATTTAATTCACTCAAAGAGAACGAGAAAAGTCGCTGGTGAGTTTAAGTGGGAAAGGTTGCAAAGTAGAAAGCACAATTCCTTTCCCAGTGACATGTTTCCGAGAGCTTGTTTATTCATTTAAGAAATGATACATTTCACTAGAGTAATTACCACAACATGGGGTAATTAGGGAGGTGGATTGGTGTCTTGGCAGCAGTCAACCGAAACAACAGACCTAGCCACGCTGCCATGCGTGTTACGGGCCTGCCAAAAGGAGGACGTCATGTTGATACGGTTCCTGCTACAAGAGGGGAAATGAAAGCTGTTCCTCTGGCACGTGTTTACGTTGCAGATCTAATGAGCGCAGTGTGGGAGGTTGCTGAAAATAAATGAATAGCGCACATTAGAGATAATGTGGACCTGATGTGTTCACACCTGTTTTACAATCCAGATTCACGTTCCAGATTGTGGATTATGAGCTGTTTGTGACTCTTCTTGTTCTTTCTCCTAGAGAGAATTGTTCGACATGGCCCGGTGTTCACGCAAGAGCCCAGTGACAGTGTTTTCCCTTTAAGTGCTGAGGACAACAAGATATTTATTAACTGCAAAGCCAAGGGAAGTCCAGAGCCACATTACAAGTAATGACTTTTCCTCAATATAGTCTCTATTTATATTTGAATCCAAAGGTCTGACACCATACTGAAGACCTGGATATAAATTACATTTTAGGATTTTGAAATATTAAAACAAGGAAAAAAAAAAAAAGTCATATTTTCTTTTTTAAAAGTCAGATTTTCGATTTTAACAAGAAAATATCACAATTTACTTTTTCATTTCAGGTTTTGACTGAAATTGTAAATGCTATACTAGTAAATTAAAAAAAAAATGCTTTAACATTTTCATTTTAATTGTATTTTGCAATGTTAATTTGTTTTTATATATTTCCATTTAGTTTTTATACATTTTTATTTCTGTAATTTACATTTTCATTTTAATTGTATTTTGCAATGTTAATTTGTTTTTATATATTTCCATTTAGTTTTTATACATTTTTATTTCTGTAATTTTAGTACTTCAATCTATTTTATTTCAGTTAGAAAATTAGAAATTGTCATTTTTTTATTCTTTGTCTTATATTATATTTTATCTCAGGTTTATTTCAATTAACAGACATGTTTTAATAGTTTTTTTGAATAGGTTTGTTAATGACAACAACACTGCTTTTGAGCTCTTTTTTTCTCTCTGAAGGAACTGAATATAAACAATTTCTTTGACTGCCACTGAAAGAATTTGTATGCCTGTTTTCTTCTCATCATCATTACTCTGTGCTCACTCGGCCTGTTTTTACATTTAGGTGGAAATTCAATGGGAAAGATCTTGACATTGACATGGACTTCAACTACAGTCTTGTTGAGGGAAACCTTCTGATCAGTAAACCTCAGGCAACTAAACACCCCGGTGTTTACCAGTGTATCGCCACTAATGCATTCGGAACCATTCTGAGCCGAGAGGCTAAAGTTGAGTTTGCATGTAAGTGCCAACTAAACTGAATGTTTTTATGTGTGAATGTTTGAAAATAGCTTTTGACAGTCTCCTTCACACTTGATTTACTATTACTTTGACTATGTTGTCTGTATATGTGTCTTTTGGAAGCTTAAATGCGTAATAGGTAAAATGGCCGCTATGTTATCTTACATATTTCATGTTGTCAATTGGTCCATTAGTGGGTTAGATATACTTTCTTCCATGGATGTGACAGGCTTTTAAACTGACAACTACATTTTCCCATCTGGAAGATTCCATCAGGAGATGTCCAGTGGTACTTATTGAAATGCAGCCTGTCATGAATAATTGAAAAAAAGGTCTTAAATCGACATAATCATAACACACAAAGTCTGCCTCGTTCATATTGTGTGTTCATATGAACGCATTGTTCATGTGAAATTTCACAAGATGCGTCTTTTCAAGGCTTGAGTGATGCAGAAAATGGTTGTAGGACTAATTGGTGATGCTTCACTGGCAAAATTGGCCTTCACAGAGCAGGAAAAAGCATTTTCCCAATGATTTGTTTTGAGGAATATTTTTTTCTCTTATGAAGAAAGCTTTCCATTTTGTGATTTTACTTGTTTGTTTGTTTGTTTTTTTTGTCTTTTTTTTTCCTGTGCATTTTGGCAGACACTTTTATCTATTACAGGTATACAGGGAAATCAAGTCCCTCTTTAAAAACTCTTTAAAGGAGTAGTTCACTTTTAACAAAAACTTTCACTGATAATTTACTCACCCCCATGTCATCCAAGATATCCATGTCATTCTTTCTTCAGTCGAAAAGAAATGAAAGTTTTTGATGAAAACATTCCAGGATTTTTCGCCATATAATTCACTTTACTGGTAACCAAATGGTTCAAGGGCCTAAAAGACAGTTTCAGTGCAAACTGTTCAAAGGGCTTTAAACGATTCCAGGCCTTATCAAGCGAAATGATCGCTCATTTAAAAAAAAAAAAAAGTTTAAGTTTTATAAGCTCAAATGGTCGCCTTGCTCTGTTCTGCACTCCTGTTCTCTCCTGTTCGAACTCGTTCATCAAAACGAACAAATCTTTTTTCGTGTCATTTGGTTCATTCAATGAAAGAAATGAACGAATTGACTCAGGAAAGGATTCGTTCATTTTGATCAACGAGTTCGAACAGGAGAGTCACGAATGCTTATAAAACTTAAACTTTGTTAAATTTTTTTTTTTTTAAATGAGAGATCGTTTCGCTTGATAACTCCAAGAATGACTTTGTTACTCACACAAAACACATTTAATTAATGTCTTTAATCCACATATTTTAGAGTTCAAGGGCACATTTTCCTTTAGTTTCATCCATAAACTAAAGATCTGACGATACATAATTAACAAACTTACCACGGCAACCACATGTCAGAATGTGTTAATTGCATATAGCTAAGTTTAACAGTTATATTTATTTTTGTTTACCTAACTTGCAAATTCTTACCCAATTAAACTCATTTGTTTCTTGATGTATGCATTAACCTCATTAAATTGTATTATTTTTTTTTTCTTGCAGTTTGTCTTTTGCTTCCACAAAACTCATTCCACACAGTCCTAGAGGCTGGAGAACTGACATTTGAATAAACACCACAGCTTTAGCCCAGTGTGGGATGTCATTCTTGACTGTCCCTTCCTGTGCTATAGAGAGGCATTTCTAAAGGTCCCTGGTCTGCGAGTCGTCTGCTGCGCGTCAGAGCGATGACACTGCTTTTAATGAAAAGTTATGGCGATGTCATTATTTTGTTTTTGCAGACCTGCAGAATTTCAGCAGCAAGGCCAGAAGTCCAGTATTAGTGAGGGAAGGACAGGCTGTTGTGCTCCTGTGCGGTCCGCCACCCCACTTTGGAGGTACATTTTATTGTATTCCGTATGAATTTGAATGTATTTTTCTTATGCGCGTCAGGGTTTCTTTTGCTTACAAATACACAAAGCCCCTATTCTTTGAAATGATCAATTATTTTCCACTTTCCAATAGAGATGCTTTCGTACAAAGCAAGTGTGACAATTGTTTGCAAAACCTATTAGCCTCTTTCCACAGCACATTATTTTATTTTTTTTATCAGTTCGAACACTGTTTAGCCTGTGGAATAATGGCAAGCAAATCCAAAGTCAAGAATTCACCGCAAGTGGCACTTCCGTGCTAGTGATGTCAAAGAAAACCTCATTTCGCTTTGCTCGCTTATTATGTGTGGTGCATGTTGGTTCAGATTGTGTCTTAATCATCTCATATTGTGAGCAAATCAAGCTTTCAAATGACCAGAGCACAATGGTTCACTCTGGAGCTCCCGTTCTTGCATTCATGCACCAGCCTCGTGGCATTTAGATCCCCCTCCTCCTCCTCCGTAATGGCACTTGTGCCCTTGTGGTCATTTGGAAAGGTTATTTTCTTAAGCCTTGGCCTTCTGTTGAAAGGTAATAAAGGCATGCGGTGGCTGGTTTAAAGCAACATGTCTCTTTATCCCCCTGTCCAGCTGTGCACCTCTTCTGTGTCTGTATAGGGCTGATTAGCACTCCGTCAAAGAGCCACACACACATTCTCCAGAGGTGCAATTTCATGCCTCCGCACTGGCGTTCTGTCATTCCACCACATTTCCAGTCGAATCAATGGCCTTGAGTGTCACCTTCCCCACTCTCCGCCTCCACCCTGTTCTCCCGCCACTTCATCCTTGACCGTTTGCCAAATTCCGTAATTCGAGGCTCTGTTCTATGGATCATACTTCATTGGACTTTATACAATGTTTAGAGACTGCTATTCAGTCCAGAAAGTGATTTTATGCAGGGCTGGAAGTGATTTTTAGCACCCAATTTTATCCCAAAGGCAGTTGCTGGGCATGGAGGATCACTCAGAAAGTGTACCATTTGAAATCTGGCTTTTTTGCTCTTGGGAACTAATTATTTTTACTCTGGTTCATTAGAAATATGTACGTCATATACACATTTATTAATATGGTCGTGGCATTTGCATATTGTTGCACTATTGTTCATTTGACTGCTAATTGCTCTCTTCATTTGTATGTCGCTTTGGATTAAAGCGTATGCTAAATGATTACATGTGATGTGAATATTTTGGTATGTATTACCATTAGTTTGGTTAGTTGTTAGCATTCGTCTCAAATGAGAAATCTCTTGTTCTCAAAAAATATGATCTTATACTCACCAAGGCTGCATTTATTTGATCAAAATGCAGTAAGCACTGTAATATTGTAAAATACCATTACAATTTGAAATAACTGTTTTCAATTCGAATACATTTTAAAATATAATTAATTTCTCTGATGTTTTTTTAGCAGCCAATACGCCAGTTTCAAGTGTCCTAAAAACTTTTAGAAATCGTACAAATATGCTCATTATACAGCTGTGCTGCTTAATATTTTTGCGAAAAGTGAGACATTTTTACACACACACAAACACTATTATATATATATATATATATATATATATATATATATATAAATATATATAATCGATTAATCGCATCTAATTTAAATGTTTTTACATATGTAAACACAGACACATACAAATGATATACTGTATATATAATAGATTAATCGTGATTAATCACATCTAACATACTCATACTTACTCATACTTAATGATATCATGATAATTGCATTATCGCGATTAATCACATCTAAAATAAATGTTTGTTTTATATAGTATATGTACACACAGACACACAAACACACTGTATGTATGTATATATATGCATATTACTTTTTATATAGTTTATACATGTATAAACTGTAGAAAAACAAACATTTATTTTAGATGTGATTAATCGATTTGAAAGCACTAAATATAATGCAATTATAATGATAAATATAATGAAAGTATTAAGGTGAACACTTAAAAGTCTTCTTGGTGGCTTATTTAATTTTAGTATGACTTTAATATTAGTTAAATTACTGTTGGCTCTCTTTCAGTGTGGATAACTTGGAACATTGAACTGGACCGTATGAATTTTAGCAACAGCTCTACATTAATGTACAGTATTTTTACTGATAATTGGGCTACTGTCACATGATTATATTGGCTGTGAATTTGGTTCCTAAGAGAGCAAAAGCCTTAAGCACAGTGCCCAGTAATGACGAGAGGTTGCCCACCTTGTCACTATACTCCATTTATGATGCTTTTAATTCACCTTTTTCAATCTGGAAGCCAAATGGTTATTTTTTTTTCTGTAGTCTTTTAGATATGTTGTTTAAACCTTACAGTAAATAGCCCTAATCAATCCATATTTCAGCCACTCTAACCCCCTGTCTGCCCTCTAATAAATGCTGCTTAATTTGATACTTTCATACTTTATTTTATACCACAGGCCTTGCTGTATGCTCTTCCTGTATTCCTTTTATCCCCTTTCTATTTCCCTGTCTCATTAAGAAAGAGTGAGAGGTGACATGAATAAATATAGATAAAGAAATAAAATGAAAAGGCTATCAAGACAAAAGGAACTTGCATCACACAAAAAAAATCACTGAAAAGCAAAATCATTGAGTAAGCTGATTCATTTGAAGACACATTCATTTGCTTTGTGTTGATTATAAAACTAATTTGCTGAACCTTTTGCTGTATTTTAGCACACACTTTGACTTTTATTTAAGATGGATGACTACAACAGTGAATTAGGTTTTTGTAAAAAAAAAAAAACAATATTAAAAGATATTCACATGACTGCTGATTCTGAATTTAGTGTCGTTTTTAATAGCGCATTTTTATAAAGTAAGATGTTTTGTGGTGGCTTTGTGCCTTTTTTATGGAACGGTATAAGTTTGCTGTTGCTTGACTGTCAAAATCGAAACTATGTTGATTTAACCTTGTTATATACAAACTCTTTTCCCACAGCTGAGCTCTAACAAGCTTCATTCCAAATAATTGAATTTAATAAACAAGTGTTTAAAGATTCTTTTTCATAAGGCATCAAGCTGTACACTAAGTATGGCATGCAGGATATTCACTATCGAGACAGTTTTTATACAGAAATATACACATACAGTCTACTGAATGTGTTTCTTACAAAGAATGGAAAGAATTGGCTTAAAAATGTAGTAATGTCATCTGACAATTTTCGCAGATATCAGATATTCCTGGATATTTAATGGCCGCCCGAGCGTTGCTGTTGGGGACAACCGACGCTTTGTGTCCCAGAGGACTGGAAACTTATATATCGCTAAGGTAGAGACGTCAGACGTGGGCAATTACACATGTGTGGTGAGGAATGTGATGACCAACACGACGGTCCACAGTTCCCCAACTCCAGTGGTGCTACGTCGGGATGGTGAGTAGCCTGGAGGAACTGCTAACAGTGATAAATCAGTGGATTTGAGCATAACAGTGTCTGCTTTACTGATTCTCAGAGATGTAGCATTTGTGTATTCATAGTATCTGAGCCATACTCAGAGAGAGAGAGAGATGTTGCATTAAAAAAACAGAGGTGACCATGTACACCCTCTCTCTCTCTCTCTCTCTCTCTCTCTCTCTCTCTCTCTCTCTCTCTCTCTCTCTCTCTCTCTCTCTCTCTCACACACATATACCCCGGAAGGCTCAACATCACCAGTCATTAGTGTCTGTTTAATATTCACCCAGACAAGGTGTGAAGTAGGGCGGAGAGGTTTTGAATATTTTGAGTTAATGTGAATATTGAATATTTTTATCTATGAATATTTTGGGCTCGAGACCACTGCCAAACTCTCAAATTACTTTACTAATTCTTATTTCTTACTTTTCCTTATGTTTGATCTACATTCCCTGCTGGAAAGAGCATTTTAGGCCAGCATAAATTTACATGATTTTCGGTGGTGCTAGTCAATCAGCTGGTCCACCGTCGTGATATTTTTGCTAAAGCTGCTTGAATAAGCTTTTGCTAAAACTTGTTGGCTAAGCAATGTTAATCTCAGTAAAAATTAAACAAAATAACTACCAAAAGTGTTAGTTGACGAAAGTTTTATTTTTTTATTGTTATGGCATTTAAGAAATCACAATTTATCCAATACAAGCACTGTTTTTTTTATGTTATGTATGCATGGTACATATTTAAATGAATGTTTTTCATAATAAAAGTTTCAGTACTGATATGTATTTTGTTTATTCAAATTATAAAAATTATATGGTGTAATAATTTAAAAAAAAAAACACCAAAAAAGTAATTTAAGAAAGTATACAAGTATAATGAGTCAAATGGACTAAAAGTAATGAATACATAGCTGTCAACATTGAACATTGAAAATAAGTGATATTTCCCGAAATCCATCCCCAAGATAAGGGATTTTTTTTTTAATTGAATTTGAATTGAATTGAATTTATTGACAGGATAGCCCCTTGAGATGCAACATCTCATTTTCAAGGGGGTCCAAAAAACATAAGTAATTTACAACACAGACAACATAAAACATAAAACACAACATTACAAAACAAGACCACAAAAAAAAAAAACATTTCTGACATTTTCTTGACATTTACACGATTCTTACCCTCAAACTTTAAAAGTCTAAAGAATTCAAAACTAGCCTACATATGTGTGAGAGAGAAAGAGAGAAAAATATCGGAGAGAATGTTTAAATACTCTAATATCAGCTTATGAGGGAAACCGACAGGCTTTGGGGAAACGGAGAGAGGGGTGCTTCAGAGGCGCGTCCGCATGAGCGCGGCAAAAATGACGCGTTGGGTGCGCAAGACCTCATTTCGCATGGCTGTGTACAGCTTTTTTTGTGACAGCGCGCGTGGCGCCACATCCGAGGATGAACGACTTCAAGCCGAATCTGTCCGAGCTTCAGACTACGTCTGACACAGTCAGAGCGTAAAAATATGGGATATTTTACGGGAAAATACTAAAACGGGAAGACAGCTGGAAACGTGAGAAACCCGGAAAAAAACGGGTGGGTTGACAGCCATGAATGAATATGACATGCCAAGTACAAAAATACAAAACTATGGAAAAAAAAAAAAAAAAGTCAACCTAAAGCCTTAAAAGCCGAGTGTGAACATCACATCAGCATCCAAAGCCCTACATATTCTGGTGACCAGCCATTCTCTTTTCAGCAGGGTTCCTTGGCAAGCTGCATGTGTTTGTAAACTTGTTTATAAGCCTTGTTTGCACTTCAAGTGGTATGCTATAAATAGTTTGATTTGAATTGAAGTGCATTGCTTTCACCCTAAAAGACTTATGCTTGTTTATCCTTATTTTACAGCTGTGATGGGGGAATATGAGCCAAAGATTGAGGTCCAGTTTGAAAAAATGCTCCACGTTGCCAAAGGATCATCGGTTCGACTGGAGTGTTTCGCTTTAGGAAAGTAGGTCTCTACTTTACTAACAGATGGACTTCTTGCCCAGAGAGGGTTGCCTTGCTTAACCGGGGATCGCCACACTTGGCACATAGTACATCTTAGCAGTTTATTTAAGAGAAATGTCTCTGAAATCTACAGGATCTTTTAATCTTCGTGAAGTACTAGGTTGCAGATGGAGGGGGGCGGCCATTATTTTTAAAACAGCCGCAGACTGTGATCCAGGGGTCGGGCAGGGTTCTGGCTTTGGATTGTCCACAGGTAATGTGTTAAGGGATGCTGGGATACCGGAGGTTATAGGTCTAGAACAGAGATGCTGGCATGCCATGCATTTGTATATTTTATTTATTTATAAATTGAATAAAGCTGCAATGTGAATAAAGCTACATTGTGATGGAAGAGCTGAATTTTTCAGCATCATTACTCCAGTCTTCAGTGTCACATGATCCTTCAGAAATCATTCTAGTATGCTGATTTTGTGCTCAAGAAACATTTCTGTTTATCAATGTGGAAAACAGTTGTGCTTCTTTTTATTTTTATGGAAACTGTGGTTCGGGATTTCAGGATGATAAATAGAAAGTTCAAAGGAAAATCATTTGTTTGAAATATAAATCTTTTGTAACATAAATCGTTAAAGGAGTAGTTCACATTTAAAAAAAAACAAACTTTTGCTGATAATTTACTCACCCCCATGTCATCCAAGATATCCATGTCATTCTTTCTTCAGTCGAAAAGAAATTAAGGTTTTTGATGAAAACATTCCAGGATTTTTCTCCATATAATGCACTTCAATGGGAACCAAATGGTTCAAGGTCCAAAAGACAGTTTCAGTTCAAACTGCAATCTGTTCAAAGGGCTTTAAACTATTTCAGATGATGAATAAGGGTCTTATCATGTGAAACGATCGCTCATTTAAAAAAAAAAAAAAGAAATAACAGTTTACATTTGCCGTTTTATAAGCTCAAATGGTCGCCTTGCTCTGTTCGTGACTCTTATTCGAACTCGTTCATCAAAATGAACGAACCTTTTCCCGAGTCAACTCGTTCATTTCATTCGCTGAATGAACCAAATGACATGAAAAAAGACATGAGTTGCAGTTAGCACTGAAACTGTCTTTTGGCCCTTGAACCGTTTGGTTCCCATTGAAGTCCATTATATGGAGAAAAATCGTGGAATGTTTTCATTCTTTATGACTGAAGAAAGAAAGACATGGACATCTTGGATGACATGGGGGTGAGTAAACTATCAGCAAAAGTTTTTTTTTTTCTTTTTTTAAACTTAATGTCCCTTTTGATCAAAATTGCAAAATAAAAGTGTTCATTTCTTAAAAATATACATTACTGACCTGAAACCTTTGAATTGTGATGTATTTAACATCTATTTACTTGGAAAATGTACTTAGCTAAAATGATAAATAATCAAACATGCAAGGGATTGGGGAATATGTATTTATATCCATAACTTTGCAGGAATGGATGTTGAATCACATTTTACTCTAGTGTTGTCTAGATATTGACTAACTAGTAACATGTTCTGCTTTGATGAATCATGTAAAGCCTCCATAGATCATCTCTGCACAGTGTGATGTAAATATGGTCTCTTTTCTCGACTTTCCTCAGTCCAGTGCCTTCTATCTCCTGGAAGAGAGCAGACGGAAGTCCTTTCCCTGGAAAAATGAAGATAAATCACTCAAATGGGGTCCTAGAGATCCCATATTTCCGTCCAGAGGACTCTGGACTTTATGAATGTGTGGCCGAAAACTCCAAAGGACGCAGTATTGCAAAAGGACGTCTTGTTTTTCAAAGTAAGAAATACAAAGTTCTGTCATAAAACTCTAGATTGAGTCCTTAACTCAACCTGCTTGCAATCACATGATTCTCAGTAGGGCACCGATGATTGGTTCATTCTGTTTCTGTAGCCAATGAGCTTCAAATACTTGGTTAGCATTTGCTTTCAGAAACCCTCCACCTTCCCCAGCTCCACCTGTATAGATCTGCAAAAAAGCAGATCTTAAAAAAGCATTATTATTATTAAGAAATGAGTATTATTATACCAACATTGTCATAGCCAATACCATACCAAATACTCCCAAGAGCTTCCATGACAGAAATGTTTAGACAAGCTGTGTCCAAAACATTGTGTGCAAAGTATTCACAATTTAAAAGACCTTGTTTATCTCTCCTATCCATGCAGCATTTTGTCTGCCATCACGATTACTGCAGGAGAATCAATACGAGAAATTTAAATTTTTAATGAGTCAGATAACGGATCACACGGCAACCTGTGGTAAATAATAAATAATGAAAGGATAGATTTTTTTGTCAAGGCAAGACTAATTAGAATGGCTATAGTAGGTGTTGTTTAGTGTTCCCAGAATACCCGTAATATATGCACTGAAACAGTACTCTTCTACAAGAATCTTCTCGAATTAATGTGCACACAGTAACCTCATTTTTTGATGGTTTATAAAACACAATGCTTTGCAAAGGGAGGAGGTTCAGAGAGACAAACGTTGTGTTAAGGCAGGATGCAGACCTCTGCATTTGTTATATTTTAGTTCATTGCTGTTCACGCAGATGTGGAACACCTGCAGTGGTCGCAGACTCTATATGACGCAAACATGGCTATTGAGTCTGATCTTCACTGGGAGTGCAAGGCTAATGGAAAACCTCAACCTGTTTACAGATGGCTCATGAATGGACAGCCTTTGGTCTTTCAGGTGATTTTACTAACCGCCACCAGAATAACATCCCACAATGTATTTTACCTTTTCCCTGAAATGCTAAGACACTTAGGTTGTGTGCTGGAGTGTATATGTTGAAATGTGTATTTTTGAAATGTGTAGTTTTTGTTTATTGGTCGTGGTCACATTCTGAACTGACAGTTTTGTTTATGCTCAGGACAGAATTCGTGTTGATGGTGGCAAGTTAACCATCTTCAACATAAACCTGATGGATTCTGGGATGTATCAGTGTTTGGCAGAGAATGATAACGGAGTCATATATGCTAGCGCTGAACTCAAAGTTGTGGGTAAGCATCTTTCAATGTTATACAATTTTTGACAAATATCTGTGATCTAAACTGGTCAGACCTGAAAAAGTCTTGGGATGTAATACAATTTGGTAATGGAATTTGGTTCTTTTTTTCTAGTAATGTTCTGCCCTAAAATATTTAATCAGCTATTTTTAAAGGTACACTATGTAACTTTTTTTTTTTGCTCAAAGTTAACACATTAAATCTATATATATATATATATATATATATATATATATATATATATATTAAAAAATATATATATTAAATATATATATATATATATATATATTAAATATATATATATATATATATATATATATATATATATATATATATATATATATATATATTAAATATATTATTAAATATATAATAATATATATATATATATATATATATATTAACACATTATATATATATATATATATATATATATATATATATATTAGGGCTGTGCAAAAATTAATTGCGATTAATCGCATCCAAAATAAAAGTCTGTTTACATAATATATTTGTGTGTGCTGTATATAATTATTTTGTATATATAAATACCTATGCATGCATGTATACGTTTAAGAATTATTTGTGCTTAAATTCTCTGTATATATATATATATATATATATATATAAATCTATATTATATAAATATACATATTTTATATATGAATAACACATTTTCTTAAATATATACATGCATTTATACACAAAATAATTATATACAGCACACACAAATATATTATGTAAACATTTATTTTGGATGCGATTAATTTTTGCAAAGCCCTAATATATTTATATATATAATATCATGAATCCGTCTTCCAAAACATGTTTTTACATAGTGTACCTTTAAATAATAAATGTAATTTTGGCACTCTTTAATGTGGCTTGACAGTTCAGCAGAGCATCGATCATCTCTTCCTCTTTCACACTAGTATAGCATGAAATAAACATGAATGGACATCAGAGGTTATGTTGAAATATACAGTACAACGTTCTGAAATGGCTTGTGTAATGGCTCAGCATAATTAAAAACTGCCTCATGTGCAATTTAAATGTTTGCATATGACTAAATGTGATTCATTTATTAATTATGAAATAAACTTTACTTTTGATTTCAGGACTAAATGAAAAGGTGTTTTGGTGAAGAAAAATGTATTTCTGTGCCATTCAAAATGTGTGGGAACCGTGGTATTCGGTATAATATATCATATATCGCATGTCTTCAGCCTCACCTCCAGACTTCTCCAAAAACGCACTGAAGAAGAGCACACTGATCCAGAGAGGTGGAGAAGCTGTCATCGAATGCCGACCGCATGCGTCCCCCAAAGCTTCGTACTCTTGGAGGAGAGGCAACGAGTTCCTGAAAGACAGCAAGAGGTACGGGTCAGCAGACTGGTCGCTGTCAAATGAGCCACTTGCACTCCTGTTGTCCCCACAGCCTTGGGGTTTGTTTGCACGAAATAAATGTTATTCATTTATTAATTCTGAAAAAAACATAAGCAGTTCAGGGTTGTTCCGGGCACTTTCTTGCATGGATCGGTACAGTTTTTTTATTAGTTTTCAAATTAATACAATTGCCAACAAGCAACGTATTTACTGATAAATGCAGTTGAAAAACAATAATATTCCCATGTTGCCAGAAATAGTGTTAATTGAGTTCACTTGCTAATAATACACTAGCATAAATATTGTGAAATATTATTTAAATGTTTGAGTTTTCTATTTACTATTGTAATATTTTTAACATGTAATCTATTCCTGTGATAGAATGATGACTGCTAATTATTAACAGTCATTATTCTAATATGCAGATTGGGTGCTCAAGAATCATTTCTTATTATTATCATGATTGAAAATAGTTCTGTTTAATATTTTTGTGACCACCATGATCATGTGATATTGTTTTTTTTAGGATTATTTGATTATTTACAGATGAAAATAACAGGATTAGTTTGGTCTCTGTCACTTTTGATCAGTTTAATGTGTATTGCTGAATAAAGTTAATCAAAAATTAAATGATCTTTTAAAAAATCACTGACCCGATTCGAACAATAGTTAGGACAAAACTCCCGTTAAATGAACTCCCCAAAATGAATGTTATTTCCCACAAAAATAATAATGCAACATTTTATTACATTTTATAATGAGAATACATTTTTCAACTTCCCATTTCTTTCTTTTCCTCCTTCAGCAGTCATTATTTGCAGAGCATCAGCCCATTACTCTGTGATATATGTCCACATTTTTATTCGAACATAATTGCTTTTGTTGTCCATATTGAACACACATTGCTGAGGCACAGATGTTGCACATTCAAAACCAACAACATCCTTCCTGATGCCACTTTTCACACAAGAGTGAGTGCCTAGTGGAACACTAATTAATACACCCCTGGTTCTGCGACGTTCCTGTGGGGTTTCAACAGGACAGAATCATTCTAGCATGGCCGTTGTCAGAACAGGTGGCAGGAGGGACGAGTGTATGATCTCCAGTAATGGATGGGGATGGAGCGATAACCAATGGGAGCTCATTCCGTGCACTGTGGTCCATCTGGACCTGAGAGAGAACACACATGCCATGACTCACTGATGCTGCCCAGGGTCTCTGTGGAACTATGTGATTATTGGATGAGGGAAAGAGGGAGTGATGGAAAGGGGGAGAGCGAGTGGAAGTTAGAGAGAACTGATGAAGTGAGACAAGAGGTGCAAGACTGGGGATCAGATACCGTCTATCAGAGGGTAAAGGTAAGCCTCGGAGTGTCTGAAATGGAGTTCTAACGTACTCCTAAATGCATACTGCACAGTATGTACTAAAGCTCTGTTGAATATATGGAGCAATATGCAATGAGTTCAGAAGGCGCCGTCCAGTTATCGTTTTTGAAATTGTTATTTTGCAGTATTTTTCAGTGGAATTGGCCACTCAAATGTGTCAGGAAGCAAATGGGCGGTCGAGTGCTCTGCATTGTGGGATACACTATTGCTCTTTTGGAAATAGTTGTCTATATAAAGCAAAATGCACTAACAAACATGTTTAATTCAGGAAGTGGCATCTAGTTGTCATTTTTGGAAGTAGTTATTTTACAACTTTTGACAATCCACTCAAATGCATTGTGGGATAGATTGTCCACACTGCATTTTTTTTTTTTTTTTTTTTACAAATAGGAAATGTGAAATAGAAATATGCAACAATCAACATTTCATAATTTTATCAATCAAATTTTGAGTAAAATATGTTGACACTTCCCTCGTACAGTGAAAGGAAATGTTGTGTCAATAGGGCTGTCGCGATAACCGCAATATTGTAGTACCGCGCTTCTGACAAGTTAACCAGAGGATTGCACGCAACCGCAAGATTCACGTTTTTTATAAGTCTATACACTTTTTGTTAACTTCATTCAAGTTCATGATGATAACAAGACTGTTTATTGTGATGTGTAGCCTACAGAGGCTTCACACAGACAGTGAAGGAGAGAGATCGGTAGAGCGCGTGCGATTACCTGCGAGTGTGTTTGAAGTCGTGGAAAGGTTGCCGTGTCAAATGAAAGCGAAATATTTGTCGTATCATCATTTTAACGTTCACTTCACGGGTATTTCTCAGAAACGCGCGTCAGCAGCAGCATCCCACAGCGCAAGAAAGCCGTGGGGAAATAAAATCACTGAGTCACGCATTGAATCAATGCCATATTGGTCTCTAATAAGTGAAGCTTCAGCGTTACCCATGCGACACATTGCTGCTCAGCTGAGCCTTGAAAAGTGGAACTCAAAGTTAAAAATAATTAGCATCTTGTTTCATTAAAGGCTACATCTCTTTTAATGAATCAGCTTTTTTGAATGTGTTCATTGAATGAACGGTTTAATGACTCACTCAAAGTCCGTTGTCATAACAATATGCGCGCTGAGTGAAAGCCTTTCAATGAGCATATAGACGCTGTTACATTGGTTACTGAAAATGTCCTCGTTTTTGTCCATTACCAATGGTGGTAATACCGCATATCGCGCTATTGCGCCACTCAACATTACCGCAAGGGAAATTCCATAACCGCGACAACCCTATGTTTCAATCAATAGTATTAAAATAGTACTGTTTAAAATATATATATTATGTAAAATTGAAAATATTACACAGACAAAATGTTTCTACCTGCATTGTTCAAGCAATGTTATTATTGAACATATAATATACAATATCATTATTTGAATATTACATTTAATTCAGCAATTAAAATTACATTTAAAATGAAAAATGATTCAAGAAAGAGTTTAAAATCATGGCTGATATATTTGTTGTATTTGTTGCAGCGTGCTCAGTAGTAGCACTAGGTTCATGTACTACAGCATGTATTCCATAAATAGTGAAAATGTGTATACTATACTATGCATACTGCAATTCAAATATTTGGGGTCTGTAAGAGTTTTGAAAGAGTTTTATTCAACAAGGGCACATTAAGTTCATCAAACATGACTGTGAATTACTGATAAAATGAGTTCTTGAAGATTGGGATAATGGCTGCTAAAAATTCAGCTTTATCTTCACAGGGAATTTTAAAATATATAAAAATAGAAAGCAGTTATTTTAAACTTGTAATAATATTTCACAATATTAATGAGCAGAAGAAACTTCTTCTAAAACATCTCACCGACCCCAAACATTTGAACAAAAGTGTAGGTATTGGGCTCTTCTGAACCTACTGACACCTACAATAGTCACGAGTAAAGGAACAGATTGAGGCTTTGTTCTAGTTGGTAAATATGCGTGATTGTCAGATTTTCACAGCAATTACACTGTGATTTAGTTTGAAGAGGTGCAAACATGAACGTGTCAATCTAATGTTGGATCTCACACTCCTGAGTTTGTATCAAGTCGATGTGTTGCAGCCTCATCGAAGTGATTTTGGACGTGCCCCAACTTGTGAGGAGAAGCATCGATTAGTCATCATATTCCACAGGAAGGATCAGAGACTGATTACAAAGCCATCATGTCTTGACGCAAATATAAATGTGGCTCTGTGTGGTCAGAAGTTTCGTTCCGTAAGCAGATAGCTCTTGCCTTTTTTTCTATTTGTTTTGCAGCTCATTGCTCACGGGTCGTCTGGTCGGCACGCTTCTATCGCTCAGCGCTTGAAATTTTTGTCAATAAATCAGATGAAAGCTCTCGGCGTAAAGCATGTTCTCTGAGCCATAGTAAATACATATTTATTTTTAAAAGCTGCGGCTGAAATTGTTTGATTTCTGAGCTGGCAGGTCTGCTGCGCTCATGTTTGATTTGTTCTGGGAGAAGGTCACAGCGGATCTCAGCGTCATATATTTACATTGCTGTATTTGTTTATCTATCATTCCTTCCAATCCCTTCCTGGTTATTAAAAACAAAGCAGCATTGCTTGTTGATGCGCATCAAGGTAGATGAAGCACTTCTGAGAACTGTTTCCTCCAGTTATATGAAATACACATGCAAGCAATGAATCAGAATTCAATTTGGACATTTTCTGAAGAAAATGTGAGTGGTACATAAGTCTACCATAGTTGACGAGGTGATGTTGGTTGCTTGATTGTTCTGAGTATTTTTAACTTGTTGCCAGGCAGGTAATAAGGTGGTGTGGGCTAGACGGTTACTTCCTGTTCCTATCATCAAAAGATACTAGCAGTTATCCAATGGGTAACCAGTCTCATTTTTTCAGATTCAAATGAGACCTTTATCTATGTTGTTATGTAACTGACTTAAAAAAGTCGGTAACACTTTACAATAACATTAATTAATTTATTAACATTCGTATCGGCATTCATTGTTTACATGCACACCTTTTGTTTCAATCTAACTGAATTGATTCCGATTGGTGAATCTGAATGTAGTGTTTATATGAACGCTAAACAAGTGATCGGTTGATGTGCGTTTTAACATTGCTTAGAAAATTCCCCCTCCTCCGTGAGAGATACGAGACCGATGCGTCTCACAGGTCTCGCTCATTGGTAATCGCGCCACCGGCCTCGCGCTGTTCTCCCGCGGCCCTCAGCCTCGTCCTGCTCGCCACAGTAAAAAAAATGGCGACTGTAGAACGCAAAAGCCGAATCCTGGACATTTGGGCGATCTAGAAATCCTGGGCAGACTCATCACGGAGACTCACTAGTAGCCTAGAGTTGTTGTTTAACTACTGCGCTCTGTTACCGGTAGGCGTGGTCTCCTAGGGCAGCGAAGCAAGTGCATTCTGGGAGTTGTTGTCTTTCATCCACATTTCTTCTACATAAATGACCTGATTTTAAATACACATTCATCTTTCCAGAGGTGAAGTATCCCTTTAACAAACATTAATAAATAGTTGACTAATGTTAACTAATGAACCTTTTTGTAAAGTGTTACCAAAAAGTAATGATCAGTCTTAAAGAAACAATAAGATGATTAAGGCTAGATGACTACTTGTAAGACTAGTATAAGCATTTTAGACTGTCTCTGGTCACTTCTTCAATGCAAGTCTATGGGATTTTGTTAGCATGGTTAATTCTTGATTTAGTTTTTATATATATATATATATATATATATACAATTAGGGCTGTGCAAAGATTAATTGCGATTAATCACATCGAAAATAAAAGTTTGTGTTTACATAATACATCGGTGTGTGCTGTGTATAGTTATTTTGTATATATAAATATGCATGCATGTATATATTTAAGAATTATTTGCACGTAAATACTTTATATATATATATATATATATATATATAATAATCTATATTATATATAAATATTTTATATATGAATAACATTACATTACAATAACACATTACAATACAAAATAACTAGACACAGCACACCAGAATATATTATGTAAACACAAACTTTTATTTTGGATGCGATTTATTAAAAATCCATAACCTGTATATACAACCACCACTAATAAAAACCTGTTTGAAGAGAGTGCGAGATTCAGTTTTGTTTGTGCTGTTGGAGCTCTATTTGCGAAGGTTAGTATTTCAGTCAGATGCTATCAACATCTCCTCACATGATCCAGACATATTTGGAAACACCTTTTAATGTGTCGATAGCATCTTTCATATGTTGGATAATGATAAGACCACAGGTGAGAATTCAACCCTGAGCGAATCAGCTTCTCCTTTACATACTCTTAGTAAATGTAGATCCAGTTTAGTCTTCAGTTATCTGACTATATCCTGTTGAGAATTCTGGCTGTGGTTATTTAATCTAAATGATTTCCTACAGTTTTCACAATCTTTTAAAAGAAACAAAAGCATACAGATACAAACAGGGTTGTTTCTCGGTATGGAATAGTTTGGCTGAGTCTGACTCTTTGAGAATTTATTTTGGGAAGGCAAGACGAAAGGAAAGAAGGTTGCTGTATCTTTGAACATTAAAGCTCTGATCCAGTACCTGAGCAGACTATGTGTGTCAGAGAGTGTGTTGGGTTAAAAACCATCTTTTCTTATTCTTTGATCTATTCCAGTAGACTTGTCAATTTCACTGCCAAAATACTTTTATTCTACCCAACACAGTTCTTTTATACACAAGTTGAAGATTTTGGATGTAATTTTGCAACAGTGTAAATGTCTTTACTGTCATTTTTGAACCATTAAATGCATCCTTGCTGGAAAAAAAAATTCAATTTCAACAATTGGGGCAGGGCAGCCATGGCCTAATGGTTAGTGAGTCAGACTGGTAACCCGGAAGTTGCGTGTTTGAGTCTCAATACCGGCAGGAAATTAGCAAGGCATGATCTAAACCCCAATCGCCCCCCAGGTGCCAGAGCAAAAATGATTGTCCACTGCTTTGTGTGTGTGTGTTCACTACTCACTACTCCTAGTGTGTGTGCACTAACTTCAATGGGTTAAACGCAGAGGACAAATTCAGAGAATGGGTAAATTACCATACTTGGCCTTCATTTCATGTCACTGTCATTTCTTAAAAATAAAAAATAAAATTAGGGCTGGGCAACAATTAATTGTGAGTAATCGCATCCAAAATAAAAGTTTGTGTTTAGATAATATATGTGTCTTTAGTGTGTATAACTATTTTGTTTATATAAATACACTCACGTTCATGTATGTAGTATACATCAAATATTTATATATACTATTAATTCTGTATAAATACATATAAAGTATATACATGCAAATATTTCTTAAATATATACATGCATGTGTGTGTATTTATATATACAAAATAATTATACACACCACAAACACATATATTATGTAAACACAAACTTTTATTTTGAATGCGATTAATCGTTCCCCAGCCCTAAAAAAATAATTTAAACCAAACATTTGAATGGTAGTGGTGTGTATATAATTTATGTATTATAAGTGATAGCAACATGTCATTGGTTGTTCAATGTATTCCATTTTTTTTTTTTTTTTTTATCATTTTAGGCGGACCATTTTAGAGGACGGCACCCTCAGGATCACCAACGTTACCAAGTCTGATGCAGGGAGGTACACTTGTGTTGCCAGAAACCCCTTTGGTACATCCAGCAGTTCTGGGACTTTAGTGGTCAAAGGTAAAACACCTTTCATATTTCACAAACAGCACATTTCTCTTACTTCTAAGCGGACGCCTTAAACCGGATGAGAACCAGTGGAAAAACAGTGAGCAACCCAAGCATGAAATTGATAATGAAATATATAGTTGTTTTATGTTCCTGCTGGTTTGACAGAGGTATAACTCATCCAAGCTTTTGTCATGTGTGAGTTATTGGTCCAGCCGTTGGTGTGAAAAAAATCCTTAGCCGTCCACAGCACCGCGAGCGGATTTTCTCCTCGTCTCCCAGTCACTTTCTACATGTTTAATTAAAAATATGCTGCTGTTTTTGTTTTTCTCAATTTCCTCCTTTAATAACGTTAGGCATTACATATGCATGTTTTCAGTCACTTTGATGGCTTCAAGTAGGGATATTCAAATTCAGGACATGAACATATTTTTTAGATAATTTTGTTTGTTTAAATTAGTTTTAAAATTAGGCAGACTTCCATTTGTATCGCTACAGTCAAGTCAGCCTACATGCTGACTAAAAAAAAAAATGTAATCTATTATTTTAGCTGGTTTGAGGTGGTTTAAGCTGGTCTGCTCTCCCAACCGGGCCATGCTGGTTTCAGCTGGTTAAGCTAATTCAGTCTCTAAGCCTGACAGGCTGAAAATTGCCCCACAATTCTCTAAAGCAGGGGAGTCAAACTCAGTTCCTGGAGGGCCACTGTCTTGCAGAGTTAAGCACCAACCCTAATTAAAGGGATAGTTCATTTTGAAATTAATTTTTGAAATGTTTTAGCTTACCTCAAGGGCATCCAAGATGTAGGTGTCTTTGTTTCCACAGTATTTTCAATTTTAATATTTTTAGGTCAAACCGTTCTTGTCTGTCAGTCATATAATGCTGGTATATGGGGTCCACCTTAAAGAGCATGCACAGAGAAGTCCAAATTAAACATGGTTTAATGACTCGCAAATGTAAGTACACATTGATGGCCTAAGACACAAAACGAGCGGTTTGTGTGAGAAAACGAACAGTATTTATGTCGTTTTTACCATTTGTAACCACAGCCACGTTGTCTGTTGATATATCAAAATCGTCTTCCATTGCAATTTCCTGTATATCTAAATATGGTAACAGTGAAGGATAACACTTCTGAAATCTCTGTGTAAACAACGAGTGACGTACAGAGATCACTTCCGGGGATTTCCGGCACTTTTGCTGACAGAAGCGCCCTTGCTCTCAGAGTACTGTACTTGGACATGACTGTGATTACAAGAGGTAAAAACAATATAAATACTGTTCGTTTATTCACACAAAGTGCTCGTTTCGTGTCTTAGGCCATCAATGCGTACTTACATTTACGAGTCATTAAATCATGTTTAATTTGGACGTCGCTGTGCATGCTTTTTGAGGTGGTGACCATAGACCTCCATTATATGACTGACAGACAAGAACGGTTTGACCTAAAAAATTCAAAATTGAAAATACTCTGGAAACAAAGACACCTACATCTTGGATGCCCTTGAGGTAAGCTAAAACATATCAAAAATGTATTTCAAAGTGAACTATCCCTTTAAACACACCTGAACCTTTAAAGTTTTTGGAGCTGGTTGGAGATACACTCTGCAGGACAATGGCCCTCCATGATCTGAACCCCGCCAGGAATGCAATGGAACCAAACATGATTTCATCTGAGGGGGCCCTTAACACCCCCACCACTACCTCCTCGGGATACGATTTCAACCACAAGCCCCAGTTAGAACTATAAAAGCCCCCCGATTTTTTTTATAACAAATCTAAAGTATTTTGAAGTAATGCATGTGAAAGTCTCTCATATACGTTTTTTTCCCCTTTGTCTCACTCAAAACTTTTTTTTTTACAGAACCGACCAAGATTACAGTTCCCCCTTTGAGTATGGATGGCACGGTGGGGGAGAGCATTGTCTTGCCTTGTGAAGTATCTAAAGACTCCACTCTACACCCCGTCTTCAAGTGGTTCTTCAACGGGAAACTCATCGATTTCAGTAGACATGATCACTTCTGGATGATTGGAGGGGTGCGTTTCTTTCCGTCATAATTCAATGCTACAAAATGCTGTATTTCTGAATTAATGTACTGTAGCCTCGGATTTCTCTTTGAAAGAACTAGGTGTAGTGGAATGCGAGTTAGGAATGATTGAGATTTCTTGTCGTTTTATCTTTTTTTTTTTTTTTGAAGCTCAGCTAGCAATGGAGGGGACATGAGTACAGGGGCACCTGGCCGCTCTTTGAACATAGAGGCACAAATCTGTCTGATTACAGGATTTTCATCGCACACTGTTTTACACACAGTGAACGTCAAATAGCTATCCACAGGAACCATTCTCTGACTGTGTAGATCATCCAGCTTTTCAGGTTGTCAAGAATTGCTTTTGAGAACCTGGAGAGACCAATGATCAAATGCACAAATGGCGGACTCTCACTAACAACAGTAGGATTGCTTGTTTAAGTGAGATAAAGGATCCTTATCTGAACTGAAGAGCCAATCAAATATGAGAGCAGAGCAGAGGGTCCTTTGCTACATCATTGGCATGTGTTCCCTGATGTTTTTCAAATGTGTCATAACTACAGAAATGAAAATATATTTGATTTCTGAGACCTAAAAAAGTACCACAGTATTACCATAACACTAGCATTCAAAAGTTTGGGGTCAGTTAGAATTCATTAAGAAAAAAATACTTTAATTAGTTCAAAAGTCTCATTAAAGACTTTAAACTTTCTGTTCATTAGTATCCTCAAAAATCAAAAATATTAAGCAGCACAACTGTTGTTAACACCGGTAATAATAAGAAATGTTTCTTAAGCACCAAATCAGCATATTAGAATGATTTCTGAAGGATCACGTGACACTAAACATTGTAGTAGTGATGCTGAAAATGGAATAAATAACATTTCAAAACATATTCAAATATAAATTTCTAATTTTAATTATATTGATCAAATAAATGCAGCCTTGGTGAGCATAATACATGTACAGTATGTTTTAAAAAACATTTAAAAATCCTCAAACATTTGAACAGTGGAGCCTACTATTTGTAATTGTCAGTTCAATTATTTACTCATCTGCCGAATAACGTATTTGAATTATCTGCCACTGTATGCCACTGTAAAGCTATAGTTTATTTGAAGTACCTTAGTGTAGCATTTACATTCCATAAAACATGAATATCGTGATAGATGGATGGATGGATAGTACATTTTTATATGTTGCTCTTTTTTTATAGGGATCTTCTGGGGATCTCATGATCAGAAACGTGCAGCTGAAGCACTCTGGGAAGTACGTCTGCATGGTGCATACAGCAGTGGACAGCGTGTCTGCAGCAGCAGACTTAATTGTCAGAGGTGTGTGCGCCGTGCCTCGAGTAGGCTGTTTAGTATTCTACGCTTTTCTGAGCATTTATCAAATATAAATTAAAAAGGCCTTACAATTTTCCCTGCTATTTCTGTTGTATTCCGTGATTCAGCTCTTGAAGTAATGACTACAGGAGTATCTGAAATCAATGCATTAATTCCCTGCTTCGTGCTCTTTAGAACCTTTTGTATTTCCATCATCAAGTGAACGATCACTCTCCCTGGTTCTGAATATTAATGTTGGCTTTTGTGGGCAGACTTGTCTCACATCGCAAGGTACTTGGTCACCTTGCTGTGCCCTTCTCTGATGAGAATACACAGCAAGTTTGAGTCCTTTTTGTCTCTTTGGCGGCGGTGTTGTCAGGGCCCCCTGGTGCTCCAGTGGGTGTGTTGGTGGGGGACGTTACAGACAGGACTGCTCAGCTCTCGTGGGGCCCCGGACCTGACAACCACAGTCCCGTTACCCTCTACATTGTGCAAGCCAGGACCCCTTTCTCTATCGGATGGCAGGCAGTCAAAACCGGTATAGTAATATGTAGCACTTTCTTGTAGAATCTGTTACACTGATTTAAATAGGCAAATGCTTATGAGTCAAAGATTGGATCAGTATTATGTTTCTAGCATGTTATATGTTTTAGCAACAGTTCTTCTAACCCTAATTGACGGAGTAGCATTTCTTAACCAACCATGTAGGAAGACACATCATGGCCATATTCCAGGATAAAAATGTCAAGATTCATCAGGCTCAAATTGTGAAATAATGGTTAAGTGGGAGCATGAAGAATCATTTTCAGAGTCCAGACTTAAATTCATTGAAAGGATGTGCTGGAGAAGACTTTACAGAGTGCCGGACTCTTGCATCGTCGAATGTACGCACCTCTTGATGGACATAATAAGAATAAACATAATAATCACTGCGATAATGATCCAGTCATTTTAATCCAAACAGTTTGTTTTTTTTGTCAGTGTTTAATATAAAAATATAAGCAACTTTTCACATGTTTTTTTTTTTTTTTTTTTTTTTTTTTTAGTGAGTGTCCACACCATTTTTTGTTTGCATTTCTTTTTTTCTAGTAACCTCACACTAATTTTAAAATATCAGTCTCTACCAAATGGTTGAGATGTCACTTAATGGTAATAAATGGTACCGGAATTCATACACATACGCCCATCTTAATTTATTATCAAAACCTTTTCTAGTTCTCTGAGTCTCAAAGTTCCATATTTTGTAACAGAAGTGATATCTGGACAGAAATGTATTAATTTGTTACAGCAAAATGCATACAATTAAATTCAAAGGAATTTATGTCATTTTTGGTATTATGCCTAAAAAAAAAATCTTAAATTTTTGTGATATCAACTTCAAATTTGGAACACATGTTAGATATACTGTATGGCTTTGATTTTATAGTTATTTTATAGGAAAAAAATATGTTGTAATATATATATTTTATATAGATATATGGCTTTGATTTTATAGTTATTTTATAGGAAAAATATTTTGTAAAATATATATTTTATATAAAATAAAAAAATATTTAGTACAGTATAGTACAGTATTGATTTAATGTAAATTTAAAACTTCCATTACTTTTTTCAAGTGCTTTTACTTCAGCAATAATCTGCTGAGTGTTGTCTTTAAAACGAGACTAAATTTAGGTCTTTATTCCAAAGCATTCTTGAATTACAACCAAGTTTTAGTGCATTGTAATGTCCATTCTCAAAAAGGGGGTGACAATTCACCGTTATGTGCCAAATCAACCGTTTGTTTGAGCATGTTTTTGAAAAATTATTAAAAATGTACTTAAGTTTTTTCATAGCACCAGGTAACATCATTTTATAAAGTTAGGGCTCTTACAGTGTTATATGTAAAAAAATATATATATATGCTTAGCTTGCAAAATTTCACCAAAAACGTTTCACATGGCTGGGGTGATGTATTTGTTTCTGACATCCATGTTAGAAGAAGTGTTGTGACAAGTGCTGTTGATAGACACTGTTTTTTTTTTTGTTTTTGTTTTTTTTTGTTTTTTTTGGCATAATATACCCTAACCAGATGATAGAGATGGCTCAATCAGTTTGAATTACGTTAGGTATTTCTCTCAATAAAATATAGTGATTCAAAATGTGCTCAACCATTTTAGGGTTAAATGTGATTCATTCATGCAAATGTGTGTTTTTTTTAAATGCACTCTAAAAGGTTAAAAAAAAGAAACGTGCAAGTGGTCTGATAGACCAAGATAGACCAAAATAATTATGCTTGGCTACTCATTTGTGCAGATGTGCATTGATGTGTTTTTCCATTCCAAATTTTCTTTAATCCTAGTTCCTGATTCTGTGCCTGGACAGATGATTCATGCGACGGCAGTGAATCTAAATCCGTGGGTAGATTATGAATTTAGAGTTGTGGCTATCAACGGCGTGGGGGTTGGGGAACCCAGTGTGCCATCCAAACCCGTTCGCACCAAAGCTGCAGGTATGCGCCCATCCCTCCTGATTCCATATCTGTCATCTCTAATACATCAGGAAGGAGAAATGTAATTTAATTCTATAATTAGTTTAAATCACCAGGAGTGACTCCTCGTAATAGAGTTCAGCCATGAGAAATAAACACTCGAGTATTCACACAGGTTTTCCTGGGAACAACCAAATTGCTAAGTAATTAGGACACAAATTAAGTGTGCAGAAATCGGACTGGCATCACAGAAGGTTGTCTAATTTGAAACCGCAAGAAAATGTAGTTGCATGGAAATTCAGGACAAAATAAAATCTAGCTATATTATTTAAGGCCCAAACCTGCTGCATACTGGACATTAGCGATCAGGAAATGCAGCTATTAATAATTCATGACCAACACCAACAAAAATTGTGTGGAGGCAGAAACAGACGAAATTTTAAGCTATTTTAAGCTCAGGTACCGTTTGCAACTGCTTCGATCACTGACATCCAAACAGCTGTTTCCTTCAGATCCTAACCATTCAGCAAATAAAACTTAGTTCACAAAGCAACTACGTTTGCCAGGATTGTACGCTAGTTAACAGCAATGTCTTAAAATACTGTAGAGACTGTGAAAATCAAGGATATATGTCATTTTCTGCCGTAATTACTGAAAAAAAGTTACCAAATTGCATTGTGGGATGATAGTGCAAATAGTTATGTAGTGTAAATGGGTATAATTAGAGCTATTAGTTTTCCCTTTGGCTGGGGAATTGGGCATTATTTACTTTTAATTAATTTGCTTCCAGCCAGTGTAAATGTGTTACAATAGAACACAATTGTCTTTCCTGTTTACGCTGTGAGATAATAAGAAATATTTAGTGACTGCCTCTATATTAAAATATATTTATATATATATATTAATATTCTGACTGAATATAAAAAACAGATATCAACATATGTCACCAAATATCTATGAAAAAAACATAATGAAATAAACTTTGAATGTCATATTTTTTGTAACATTTTAAACCTGCCCGAAAGGGATAGTTCACTTTAAAATACATTTTGATATGTTTTAGCTTACCTCAAGGGCATCCAAGATGTAGGTGTCTTTGTTTCCGCAGTAGTTTCAATTTTGATATTTTTAGGTCAAACCGTTCTTGTCTGCCAGTCATATAATGGAGGTCTATGGTCACCACCTCAAAGAGCATGCACAGAGAAGTCCAAATTAAACGTGATTTAATGACTCGTAAATGTAAGTACAAAGTGATGGCCTAAGACACGAAACCAGCGCTTTGTGTGTGAAGACGAACAGTATTTATATCGTTTTTTCCTCTTGCAATCACAGCCACATCCAAGTGATCTGAGGGCGCGGGTGGATACAAGAGGTAAAAACTATATAAATATTGTTTGTTTCCTCACACAAAGCTCTCGTTTCGTGTCTTACGCCATCAATGTGTACTTACATATACGAGTCATAAAACCATGTTTAATTTGGACTTCTCTGTGCATGCTCTTTGAGGTGGTGACCATAGACCTGCATTATATGACTGACAGACAAGAACGGTTTGACCTAAAAATATCAAAATTGAAAATACTTTGGAAACAAAGACACCTACATCTTGGATGCCCTTGAGGTAAGCTAAACATAACTAAAACTAATTTCAAAGTGAACTGGTTTGGTTTGCTAGTCTTATCTGGTTGGACCAGCTATAAAAGTGCAAAAGAGAGAGAAAAAACTAGCTGGGTGACATGCTAAGACCATCTTTCAGCAGGAAACTAAAAATTCTACAGGTTATTACATTCAACCTCATCCAAAATCTTTGAAGCATTTTGAAAAGAGCCTTGAGCCGCTGCGCAGGAAGAGGAAGTGTTTTCGGATTTGCCGCCAATCCCACGGGTATAAAACTCGTTTCTTCTGTTTTGCTGTCTGTTCTCTGTTCTGGCTCGTAGATCCTGAAGTCGCCCCAGCTAACGTGAGTGGAGGTGGAGGCAACCGAGGCGAACTCGTGATTGTTTGGGAGGTGAGCTCAGCGTATTTATTGTGACGGGAGCATTTTCAAAAAAGTCATCTGTGGTGAATCGGATTCTGAGGGAATTCTCCACGGTGACGTGGTTTAAATTAGACAAGGTTTAATTAAAAGGCAGCGCTGTCGTCTTTGCCTCAGTGGGATTGCTCCCTCTGGTATGTAAATCATAATGAAGACGCAAGATATGAGACAGCTTTCATACCAGTAAATCTGAAATGACAATGTTTATCAATGGCTTTCTTGTAATCTTACCGGCTGTCACAACAGATATTCAGCGGCGTGTTTAAATACAGTATTACTTTCCAAATACACCGCATTTTTCACTAAGTCCAGGGGGTTCTTGACTGACACAGTAGTGCTTAAATTTGTCTACTTTATTTACTTGCATTCAATGGATTTCAGATTATGTAGGCAACAATGTAAACCTACCACGGAAAATTGCTTGTCAACTTCCAGTAATGTAACGTCATGTCAGCTGAGTGATTTTGCTTTAATGCATTTTAATGCATTATTGCTCATATTTTGAACAACCCACTAACCCTGTGAAATGTTGCCTTTTTAAACCATCCCGCACCAATTTTTTAAAGGAGTAGTTCACTTTTTTTTTTTTTTTAAATTGCTTATAATAACTCGCCCCCATGTCATCCACGATGTCCACGTCTTTCTTTCTTCAGTCCAAAAGAAATTAAGGATTTTGATAAACATTACAGGATTTTTCTCCATATAATGGACTTCAATGGGAACCAAACGGTTCAAGGTCCAAATGAGAGTTTCGGTGTTGCTTCAAAGGGCTTTAAATGACACCAGACGATGAATAAGGGTCTTACATAACAAAACGATCGGTCATTTCAAAAACAAATAAATAAGTTTAAGTTTTATAAGCACAAATGCTCGACTTACTCTCTTTCGAGTCATTTCGTTCATTTCATTCGTTGAATGAACCAAATGACCCGAAAAAAAAATCATTCAAGAAAGAAATTATCAGTGAGTATTAATTATTATTAAAGTGAACTACTCCTTTAACAGGCATGAGTGACGCTTCAAATCAACGGGACTTGTTGAGGAGAACTTGTTTTGTGTTCTTATAATGCTAAAATTACTCTGTTGACTCTGGATTTTGAATGGTTTTGGGTGGTTCAGCGGCGCTACAAGAATGCTAACAGAATAATACAGTCAGGTACATAAAACATCACATTAATTTTCTCCATGGAGGAAAGAACGATAACTTAAACCTTTAAAGACAAACACACTGTGAGCTACAAGGTTGTTAGTTGAAGTTATATGCTTTTGTTTAAGCAATTTGGACTACAAAAAGCAACATTCTACAAAAAAATCTCCACCAATCAAAAAATCTAGCATCAAAATAACTCTTAAGCGCCCGCCCACTTCCATGAGGCATTGATAATGATGTATGAGCAATATCACACGAGTACCGATGCGTTATGGGCGGCTCTATATCAGCATGGATGTGATTTGGCTGTAGAAAATCTAAATAAATACATTCTCGCCTAAAAAAAATCGTTTAAAATAGCATTCTGTGACACAATAGCAGTAGTATTTGTAAATATAAGGTGGTTAGCTCGTCCGCCGCTGCTGGCACTGCTGGAAAAGGCTTTCGGCCAATCAGATTCGAGAACCGGACTGAACTGGTGTGTGTGTGTGTGTGTGTGTGTGCGCGTTTATAAAACGTCTGCCAATTTATTATATGTATAAACACTGATTGATTTGGGGAGCAAAACAAGTAACTTTCTTTATTGAACCGTTATGAGTCATCATGTTTGATTCTCAGTTTTTTTTGTCTCACAGTCTTTGCCGGAGGAGCTACAAAATGGAGAAGAGTTTGGTTATGTGGTGGCATTTCGTCCGCTTGGCACGACCACATGGAAACAGAGCGTCCTGGCCTCTGCTGACGCATCACGATACGTTTATAAAAACGATACTTTTCCACCACTCACACGGTTTGAAGTAAAAGTCGGCGTCTACAACAACATCGGAGAGGGACCGTTTAGCCCGGTGGTCGTTGTATATTCAGCAGATGAAGGTTAATATGCTTGTATTCTGTGCTGATTGTATGCAAATTGTGCAAGGACATTATTGGACATCATTTAAGAATGACAAAGTTGATGGATGCGTTGCAATTTTTAATTACACTCCCTCTACAGCTGTGTTAGTGCACTTTGATGGTAATTTCTTTATTCGCAAGTGTACCAACACCACAATTAGTTCTTGCAAACAGGTGGTACATTTAAGCACTAAAATCCTGTAAACTGTCTGCTCTCATTAGCTAATGTTTTTTTCCATTCCTATATGGATGACCTCACGTACAGAACCCTCGGTTGCTCCTCCGAGAGTCTGGGCCCGCACTCTGTCCGCGTCTGAGATCGAGGTATTCTGGGAACCTGTCCACCAAAGCGGCAGAAAAGGACGGATAACAGGCTATGAGGTACGTAATCACCATAAATGGAGGAAGGGAAAAAAGAGACTCTGACCTCCGACTGCATCACCTCAATCAGATTCTGTAATGTATGCACTGTGCTGATGGCAGGGTGTGCAATTTCCTGTTCCCCAAGAAGAGTCTGCGATCCCCCGGCCACATTTTTCACAATCTCATCTGCAGAATGAAGAGGTCTTCTCACAGCTGGTCCTGTCTCCCGGGGAGCGGCAATACCCAGGCTTTCTGGGCACTTATATAAATCACCTTTCAGATGTGTGGACATCATACATCAATTCCCCCTCCTGCAAACACTTCAGCTGCTAGGTCGTTTCTCACTGCGTGAGAAACCCACAGGATTCTGCCCATTTCTCTCCTTCCAACCCGGACGAGCCTTCCGCGAGAAATCCCAGGTCACGCGGCGTAGCTCCGTGGTGAAACCACAAAGTCGTTCACAGCTTCGGGTAGTAAAAAGAGCACATATGAAAATCCACAAATACTTTTCAGAGTCCCTTGTTGCAGTCTGCAGATGTTTATTGAACGCAGTAAAAAAAAAGAAAGAAACCGAGTCACAGTGACTTTGTCACCGTTCATAGTGTATTGAACCCTAATGCTGGAACAAAAGTGACATTCCTCTCAAGTCGATTTCTTAGCTGTGAGGTTGGAAGCGCACTTACTCAGGCAGAAACAGAATGCCCATTCAATTCATTAAACAGATTGTGAGTAGTTTTCGGATAAGTCATACATTTTTTTCGGATAAATATGTCTCATTTTTTATCATCTGAAACGTGATGTGATTTTTAGAATGCAAATGAATTACCATAACGCAAAACATGCGTAAAGTGCACTTTAGGATTTGTGCCGATTGTTTATTTTTATAGAGCATCCAAATTCCCAGTTTAAATACATTTGTTTATGCTTGTTGTTTATAATAAATGTTTTTTATAAGGAATGCAACTTTAATGAGTTAGTTTTATACTTATATTTTGCACTACTGTTCTTAATTCTGTAAAAATAATAGGATTTAAGGATTTGTTGTGAAGTGAGGGTAACTAAAACACTTTTATTTACAGTATTTCTGACTTTTCCACCAGTGTGACTTTGTACATTTTTATTGTGTTTGTGTAATTTAGTCTGATTCAATTAAAAACTAACTAATCATACCCCTGACCTGCACATAAGCATAATTTCCCAATCATACGAGCAGCACTTCAAGTACCAACGGCTGGATGGAAAACTTTGATTAATTATTAATATAATTTGTAATCAATTCAAAGCCCAGATTTTTAAGTTGCATAGTTTTTGTGTGTGTTGTAAATGGTGAAATGATTTAGAGGACGTCACACAGAATGTGCCATTTTTCCATTGTTTCCCAATGTAAACGGATTAAAAGAAGTTCAACTTTCAAAAAAAGACTTTTGCACAAAAGAAAGTGCATTTTTCATTCCGCTGATCTGCGTCTTTTTAAACATAACCTTAACTATTACAGGTGCAGTGGTTGGAGGATGGGTCACCAGAAAGCGATGCAGAGAGGGTAAGGGTCACGGAAAGCTCAGTCAATATCACAGGCCTGAAGGGAAGCACAATCTATCTGGTGTCAGTCAGAGCACACAACAGCGCTGGCACTGGGCCCTCCAGCGCCCCCATCAGCATCACCACCAAGAAGCCACGTAAGTCTATAGTTTTTAAACGATTGTAGTTGACAAGACGCATTTGTGGAAGTTCCTGTGTTGTGGAATGAGTCCTGTATTTGTTATGAATGCTGCTTTTCTAACATACTTGTATAGAAACTAAAAACAAAGTATCCAGTATAGTCTTCAGAAGCAGTGGGGCTAGTGCCCTGGGGCCTCAGACTTCCAGGGGCTCTAAACTGGGGGATGAATGAGGGCCATGAATGAACCATCCAGTGTCCACAGATCAGCAACATTCACCATGGATTTACTGTACACTACTAGCTGTAAGTTTGGCAGGAATAGTAGGCTATAATGCTTTCAAGTAACATCACGTCGGTTTTATTTTGACATTATGAATGCAATTGCTACGGAGGCGTATTGCATTCACTTGAAGAAAAAAAAATCTACTCTGATTTTCTGAATTAATGAGTTAATTTTTCATGAGAAAAAATTTTTTTTGCTCTGTTTTTCTGAATTAACGAGTTAATTTTTCATGAGAAAAAAAGTTTTTCTCTGTTTTTCTGAATTAATGAGTTAATTTTTCATGAGAAAAAAATTTTTTGCTCTGTTTTTCTGAATTAATGAGTTAATTTTTTGTGAGGAAAGTTTTTGCTCTGTTTTTTCTGAATTAACTCGTTCATTCAGAAAAACAGAGCAACAAAAAAAAATCCATGAAAAATTAACTCGTTCATTCAGAAAAACAGAGCAAAAAAAAAATCCATGAAAAATTAACTCATTAATTCAGAAAAACAGAGCAAAATATTTTTTTTCTCATGAAAAATTAACTCATTAATTCAGAAAAACAGAGCAATTTTTTTTTTCTCATGAAAAATTAACTCGTTAATTCAGAAAAACAGAGTAGATTTTTTTTTCTTCAAGTGAATGCAATACGCCTCCGTAAATTGCTTCACTCAAATGTTAATCTGAACTAAAATAAACCTTTGTTTATAACTATATTCCATTTCATTTTGTCCAAGGAGCTGTTTTGTTTTATAAACTCCTAAGAAAAGGCAAGTAAAGCTCCATCATTGCTCAAATTAAAAAAAAAAAAAAAAACATACTTTATGATGTTAGTTTTAATAAAAATATAATTAAAAAAATGTAATCAAGGAAATTTCTCTGGCATTTCTTTCTTTTTGCTGTATCCGTGACACAAGTGTATCGTGTCGAACTGAACTGTGAATTTTGTGAACCGTTACACCCCTAATACTGTATATACCATGCCACTAAATGAGTAGCGTGGAACTTCAAAGATGTGAGATTAGAGGCCTGACAGGATCATAATCCGACCCTGTTAAACTATTAGTGGGGTGTTTTCAACACTATGAGGGATTAAGGTGGGCTCTGTTAAACTACCGTTGCTAAATAGGCTCATTATCTGATGCCAATAATCAAGAACAAAACACTGTGTTTAACTGAGCCAGAAACTGATCAGATAAACTATGACATTACTGTGGAGGAAGTCTTATGGCTATTTTCTGCTAATAGGCTGAGCGTACAATTAAAGGCCGCTTTAAAATAAAGAGCTTAACAGATCTCTTTCTTTGTGTTGGAGCAGATAGGCGATTGTTCTTTTCCCTTTTTTACGGTAGATTCTCTGAATAAGCATACTGTGATAGGGCAGACCACTGTTATGATCGAGTATATTTATCATAATAGCATGTATTGTAGACTCGGTGGGCTGAGTATCATTAGTTAAATTGCTTCAAATTACGATATCTATTATCCTCAATTTTTTTAAAGCATGAATGCCGGGTGCACAACGTCCTAGCCATGAAAATTTTATGAGAAAGGAGATCCGATTGTCCCTGGTTCAGAGTTATTTTGGAGTTAAACTGTGTTTAAATTCCTGAATTACTGTGAAAAGTCATTCATTGAAAGATGTTTTCTGAATTGTTTGAGTGAGCACATGACCTGGCTGTGGCAAACACAACATTTATACAATTGCTCCTAAGCAACCCTACAATCAGGGGCAACTTTTTTACTGTAAGGGAGTTTTGGAAATAAAGGAAAAAAAGAACACACTGACATTCAAGCAGTCTATCATGTCAGAAGATTGAAAATTGCAATGTTACATTATATTACAAACAGCTTTTAAAAAATGTTTTAGTTATTTGTTTTTTTTATTCTATTTGAACATCTCTGCTAAGTCGCATAAAATGGATTAAATCATTTTTTTGTGTCACAATTCTGATGTTATGAAAAGAAATGTTGGCCTTGAAGGGGTAATTCGCCCTAAAAAGACATTTCTGGTATTATTTACTCACTCTAAACAATGCTGGGTTGTTTTAACCCAAATGTGGGTCAAATATGGACAGACCCAAATGTTGGGTTAAAAATGTCATTTAAAATTTTAACCCAGCTTCAACTTTCACTTTCAACTATAATTTTTTAATTACATTTTAACACATGTAGTCCAGCTAATTTAAAGTTAGAGCTAAGCTGTATCGAAACTGTGCCACTTTTTAAATTTAAAGGGACAGTTCACTTTGAAATTAATTTTTGATATGTTTTAGCTTACCTCAAGGGCATCCAAGATGTAGGTGTCTTTGTTTCCACAGGATTTTCAATTTTGATATTTTTAGGTCAAACCGTTCTTGTCTGTCAGTCATGTAATGGAGGTATATGGTCACCACCTCAAAGAGCATGCACAGAAAAGTCCAAAATAAACATGATTTAATGACTCGTAAACGTAAAAAAAAGATATACTGTTCGTTTTCTCACACAAACTGCTCGTTTCGTGTCTTAGGCCATCAATGTGTACTTACATTTGCGAGTCATTTAATCAAGTTTAATTTGGACTTCTCTGTGCATGCTCTTTGAGGTGGTGACCATTGACCTGCATTATATGACTGACAGACAAGAACGGTTTGACCTAAAAATATAAAAATTGAAAATACTGAGGAAACAAAGACACCAACATCTTGGATGCCCATGAGGTAAGCTAAAACATATCAAAAATGTATTTCAAAGTGAACTATCCCTTTAAGTGATATCTCAGCTGCTGATTGTCAAGATTGCAAAATCTAACCAGGAGATGTTGTTCGGTTATATTACACGGGTTGGAAGTAAATCCGAAAATGATTTATGTCTTTTAGCTCCAAGTCAAGCTCCAGGGAACATTGAGTGGAACCTGACCAACTCAAAGGTCTTTCTGAACTGGGAACATGTGAAGGCGATGGACAATGAATCAGAAGTAACAGGCTACAAGGTATTTTTTTTCCCCCCGCTCTCGCTCTTCTGTTTCTTTGCTGATAAACATGCTGTATCAGTGTGCCACATAAGCTGGTGTTTCACATAAAACATCTCGGAGATAAATGACTGAGAACATTACCTTTGAAAGCTGCATTATATACTGTTTTTTCATTTCACTTTTTTTATTGTGAGGTACTGGTTGAAGCCTTTCCAGATACTGGAAACTGCTCATGCAAATTCTTTTGAACTTTTTATTTGAAGTGCAAACCATTTTGCATGACATTGGATTTAATACCAGTTTTAAGTGACAACTGGTGATGTACAGCCTTTTTTAGCACTGTAAAAAAAAAATATTGTTGGTTTAACTTAAAGAAAATAATTAACCTGGTTGCCTTAAAATTTTAAGTTCATTGAAATGGAAAAATTGAGTTAATACAATGAAGGAGATTGATTTAATCACCAGAAACTCAAAATATTACATTACCTGAACTACATAAATTATCTAAGTTGATTTGACAAAAGAAAAAATGTTGTGATTACAAATCATGAAAATATTTTTTTTTTTTACAGTGTACCATTTAAATATCATACGAAACCTTAACATATGCAACCTTTCTGTAAATGGTTACCGGCCTTTTTGCACTGTTCATATCAGAGTTGGGTCAAAACAGATCAAATTAGCATAAGCAGAAGCCCATATTAAGAGCCAGCAGAGACCATTCTCTCTTTTTTGCTAGCAAAACTTTTTAGTAAAATCCAAGGTTTTGGAATAGATGCCTCCTTTTCCCAAAAACTATAAATGGTAAAAGTGAATGGATTAAAGCAAATATATGGCTAAACATTAAATGTTAAGGGTTTTTTTAAGTCTAGATTTGATTTCCCCTTTAGTGTAATCTTTTATTTTTCTAATTAAATTTCCGCAATAAAGCACTCAAGGTCATAGATGCAGTTCAGCAATATCTTAGTCTTTTTTACATTTCAGAACAAGCTTCTTCAAACTCCTGCTGCGCTCAAAACCCAAGTCATCTGTAGCAGTAGTTCATTCAGAAAGAGGATTAAAAATTGTCTGATGTGATTCATTTCTTTTGAGCAAATTCATTTGCTGCAGCGTTCTGCCGGCTAATTGACGACGGTCTCTCTGAAATGTAGAGGTTCGTCGGGTCGGTGAACAGCTGGACGGCTCTGATGCTATCCTCCATCTGGAGCTACGAGCTTAGCGACTCCTCACCAAAGACACTTTCAGAAGGGAGAAAACGCTATTCATTTGCAATCCTAACTGTTCGCTGTGAGGCCCCTGCAGAATAATGCAATCAATAATCATACATTCTCTAGACTGTGTGAGCAAGAGAGAATATCAGTTTGGTGGCTATTTGTTTTGCACTGTCAATCTAAAAAAAAGACATTTAAATGAAAAATGGATTGTAAAACCTATTTTTTTCACAGCTAGATATGTCAGCAAACATAATCCTCCCACTATAAATCAGTTTGAAATTTGAAATTGATAACGATTTTTTAATTTGTATTCCCTCTTTTGCCCAGGGTTGGAGATTGCATGGAGACGGTGGGAAATATTAATAACAGACCGTTATGAACTTTTCAGTGCTGCTGTTGTTGGCTTTTTTTAAGGAAAATGAGGGAAGAACACTAAAGTTGAAGGTTTTTATCTGATAAAATTATTTAAAAAAAATAAATTAAAGGTAAACTACAGCTACAGGTTTTTACTATGCGACAAAAATCAGTTAATAGGCTCACTACAGTATAATCAGTTATTAATATATTGTTTTGTTCACAATTTTCTCAGCCTGGCCAAAAAAGATTTCCAAATTATGTTGAGTTCTCACTTTTCTAATAATTAACTCCAAGCAAAATATTCAACTACTTTTTTAATAATATTTCAATAAAGGGTAAAGATGCCACTTTAGGCCACTATTGTAAAGTGAGCATTTTGTAATTTGTTTACTATTGCAAACGAAATGGTGTACTAACATGGCCTATTTTTGTGAAATGTTAAGTGTGCTTATGCTATTTTTCTTCATAAAAAAATGCTACTTTCATGTCATCACATTTTTACGCGGTCAAATATGTTTTGTGGCCGCTGTACGGCATGAAATATCCTTCTTGTGACTTATTCGTTTTATTTTTGAGTGTTTTTAACTAATAGCTGCACCTCACTGACCCACTTTCTCCCACGTAGGTTGTATATCGTCAAAACTGGCACAGAGGAAGCAGCGTAGTGGAGACCAACAGGACGTCCGTGGAGCTTCAGGTGCCGTCAGAAGAAGACCTGCTCGTTCAGATCAAAGCCCTGAGTGACGGAGGAGACGGCAGCAGCAGCAGCCCTATACGGATACCAAAGATGTCAAGTAAGGCTTCATGTGAGCTCATTAAATTTAGTGAACGCTGGTATTTGAGCTTGTACACGGAATCAAACTGCTAACCTTGCAATTGCTTGGCATTTGTAGTTGCCTCTTTCATATAATCATGATGCCTTTGCGTTCGTCTCCATCACAGGCCTAAACTCAAGGGGATACTTCAGTTCAGACGCAAGCAAGATGGCCCGTGTTCACGGAGTAGTGTTTCTGATGTTGTCATTGGTGTTTTCATAGAAGTTTGCCTTTATTTAAAGCTGAAGTGTGTCATTTCCGTGCCACTAATATCACAAGAGTGGAATTGCAAAAAAAAAAAAATGACTGTTTCCCAAATACTGTTTGTGTAGAGAAATTCCCATAAAAATGACTTGCTTAAAATTGTTGCATAGTTAGGAAAAAGTATTTTTTAACATTTGAAAAAAATGAATTACACACGTTAACACTGCAAAAAACAAACATTCTTAACATTTATTTGAGAAGCAAAATCATTACCCCTTGTCATCCAAGATGTCCACGTCTTTCTTTCTTCAGTCGAAAAGAAATTAAGGTTTTTGATGAAAACATTCCAGGATTTTTCTCCATATAATGGACTTCATTGGGAACCAAACGGTTCTCAAACGAGAGTTTCAGTGCAGCTTCAAAGGGCTTTAAATGACACCAGACGATGAATAAGGGTCTTATCTAGCGAAACGATCGGTCATTTCAAAAATAAATAAAAAAGTTTAAGTTTTATAAGCACAAATGCTCACCTTGCTCTGTTCTGTGATGCAAACTCGTTCATCAAAATGAACAAATCTTTTTTCGAAACGAAATGACCGCTCGTTTCGCTAGGTAAGACCCTTATTGTCTGGTATCGTTTAAAGCCGTTTGAAGCTGCACTGAAACTCTCATTTGGACCTTGAACCGTTTGGTTCCTAATGAACTCCATTATATGGAGAAAAATCCTGGAATGTTTTCATCAAAATTTCATCAAAAGACATTGATATCTTGGATGACATGTGGGTGAGTAAATTATCATCAAAAGTTTGTTTTAAAGGTGATCTACTCCTTTAAAACAAGAACGTTATCTGCCAATGAGGTGAGAAAAATAATCCTTTTTTCCCTTTGAATTAAGTTTATTTTTCTGAACATGTCGGTAGATATTTTTTTTAGAAAACAAGACTTTCAATTAATTAAGATCATAGTACCTTGATTTAAAAATGTTTAGGTATTTGTACTGGAAAACAAGACAAAAAAAACTAAGGAAGAAAACAGTGAAAACAGACTTTTAAAAATATTTGGTTGGTTATAGTTTTCATTTTATTTCCTTTTTTTTAAAAAAAAAAAAAGATAAATATTGCTGAATCTGCTCCATTGACTTATATTGTGATGGGTTTTTTTTTTTTACCTCTTTGTCAAATTATTTGTCTTTTGTATGTAGATTGTATGCAAAAAAAAGAAGGCTTTCTCTTTTAGCTAATCATTTTGCTTCGGTGTTCAGAACTGAGATTCAACGTGAGCACAATAGTAAGTCGAGTAATTCAGTTAGTGACCTGGAATGTTGGATCTCCAAGAGAAAACTTTGAATTATGAATTATACCCATGCTGTTTTTCCTCATACTCGCGTCAAAGTCAATGACGCTGTGTCTGTTTATGTAAAAAGGCCTTTAGATAGATGAGATATATTGTGTTGTTTTGCATAAGCCTGAGAGATATTACTGTTTTGATGAATAGCAACAGTTTGGTTTAATACATGGTTTCTGGGTAATTACACTGATTTATTGCTGCTAGTTAATTGTGAATTATTATTCTGAAAAATTAGTTTGACAGTCAAGCATTTGATGGTTTCAAATGAGACATATATATATATATATATATATATATATATATATATATATATGAAGAGTTCAGATGCAAAAGCCTCTAAATGCCATTTGAAATGTTCTTCTTTAATGATGATTTTTATCAAATTTGTATATTTAAGTTCAGTAATTTCACTTAAATGGCAATGATAATTACCTATTAATTGTTATTTAAGTGAAATTACTGAACTTAAATATACAAGTTTGATAAAAATCATCATTAAAGAAGAAAATTTCAAATGGCATTTAGAGGCTTTTGCATCTGAACTCTTCATATATTGTTCCTTTAAATTCAACCCATTGTTTATCAATTCACTGTCTTTCATATTTTCTCTATGGGAGTCAGTTAAACAGTAGGTTTCATTCCTAACATCTTTTAAAGATGCTTCATCATGTTTGTTCCTGTGATAATCTTTCGTTCAAACATCTGCTGAGTTTGTACGCTTGAAGATGAGACCAAAGTGTGTCATCAGAACTGTGCGCTTATAACCAGATATTCCCTCTGCCAGTTTAATGTTTTCTAAATATGTGTCTAAAAGAAATGTTTTATTTAATCATTTTTATTCGTTTCAAATTTTGTATTTATAGGTAATAACCATGTAAATGTAAAACCATTATTTATTATTACTTTAGTTTATTTATTTACTATTATTTTTATATTTTTTATAAAATGTATGTTGTTTATTGTATTTGTATGTGTCAATCATCTAATAGTATCCATATTTTTTTGCCTTATTTTGAAATTTTGCATTTTATAAATGTAACATATTCACCTGGTGTTTTATTTTGCTGTTATGTAAGCATTCTGAGCTATTTAATACCTTTGTATTAATCCTGTACAATCTCTGAGAGATAAAATAAATGCAATTTCATATTGAAATATATGTTGAGCGAATATGTGATTAGCTACAGTATTAGACACTGCAGCATTTTTGATCTGGGAGGAGACATTTCATTCTGATTTGATGTATGGAAGAGGGCTTATTGGCTGATCTATATGGTTGCCTAGAGACGATTCCTTTAAAGACTTGCATACTGATTGGTAATTACCAATTTACTGAGATTAGTCTCTGCTGGATGAGAGTGTAAAGATGGCATTTAAATTACAGAAAAATATACAGTGGATCCAGAAGTCTGAGCGTACTAGTTAATTTTTCTAATTTTTCTAATTAAGTACAACTTTCTTTTCAGTACAAATTATATTATCAGCATAACAATTTGATTGAAATGTTGAAGTGAAAAATAACATGAATTTCTTTGGATTCCTTTAACTTAAATGCACTTAAACTGACATGAACTCTAAAAGGTTGTGTAAAACCTGTTGTGTTGATCATTTTATCCAGCATGATTTGAGAAAGATCTAAAAGCATCTTGTGGAATGGGAATTGAAGTATCTCTTAACTGATAACCTTTCTACACAGCCCCTAAAGGCACATGGTGATGAAAAACGGTATGAGATTGGAGAAAAAATATATTTCAATCCTTATCCGCTCTCTTGCATAAGGAACCCTAAAAGTGACATGATTGAAAGAAAAAAAAATATGGAATGGGAGGACAAAATATGTCAACGCTTTGGCATTTCGCTTGCAAATTGTTTGCGTTTTCCTGAGAAACTTTGTGTTCGCTTGCAAAATGTTTCCGTTTTACTGAGAAACTTTGCGTTCGTTCGCAAAATGTTTGCGTTTTCCTGAGAAACTTTGCGTTCACTTGCAAAATGTTTGTGCTTTCCTGAGAAACTTTGTGTTCGCTTCCAAAATGTTTGCGTTTTCCTGAGAAACTTTGCTTCGCTTGGAAAATGTTGGCATTTTCCCAAGAAACTTTACCCTTGCTCGCAAAATATTTGTGGTTTCTCGAAAAACTTTACTTTCGCTCGCAAAAAGTTTGCATTTTTCTGAGAACCTTTGCGTTCGCTTGCAAAATGTTTGCATTTTCCCGAGAAACTTTATCCTTGCTCGCGAAATATTTGCAGTTTCTCAAGTAACTTTTCTCAAGAAATGTTACTTTCGCTCACAAAATGAGAAACTTTACCCTTGCTCGCAAAATATTTGTGGTTTCTCGAGAAACTTTGCATCTACTCTCAAAATATTTGTGTTTTCCTGAGAAACGTTTCTCACAAAATGTTTACGTTTTCCCAAGAAACTTTACTTTCGCTTGCAAAATGTTTGCGTTTTTCTGAGAAACTTTGCGTTCGCTTGCAAAATGTTTGTGTTCCTGAGAAACTTTGCGTTCGCTTGCAAAATATTTGTTCCTGAGAAACTTTGCGTTCGCTTGCAAAATGTTTCCCTTTTTCTGAGAAACTTTGCGTTTGCTCGCAAAATGTTTGCGTTTTCCTGAGAAACTTTGCGTTCATTGCAAAAGGTTTGCATTTTCTTGAGAAACTTTACCCTTGCTCGCAAAATATTTGCGGTTTCTCAAGAAACTTTGCATCTGCTCTCAAAATATTTGCGTTTTCCTGAGAAACTTTGCGTTTTCTTGCAAAATGTTTACGTTTTCCCAAGAAACTTTATATAGCCCAGATGGGATTTTATAAGCATATAGATGCATAGACATATAGGCACAATAATTGAACACTTTATTTTCATATTCTTTTATTTTTCACTGTAAATTGTATATACGTACTCCATTCACATTTCTGTGTGTTTTTTCCCCTGCAGTTTACATCATTCTTTGTGGGTTTAATCTGTGAATTATAAAGCATCTTATAGGATGAAAGTAAAGTAATAATAATAAAGTAAGTAATTGCGTTCGCTTGCAAAATGTTTGCGGTTTCTCAGGAAACTTTTCTCAAGAAACGTTACTTTCGCTCGAAAAATGTTTGCGTTTTCCTGAGAAACATTGTGTTCGCTCAGAAAATGTTTGCATTTTCCTGAGACACTTTACCCGTGCTCGCAAAATATTTGCGGTTTCTCGAGAAACAAAACATCTGGGAGAGAATGCAATGTTTCTTGGGTGAACCCAAAACTTTTACGAGATAACGCAAAAAACAATTCAATAATTGTGCCCCCCCCACCACCACCATCTCATATTTTTCAGTCCAAAATTTTTCTAAGTATAGATGATGGAAAAAAGACCAGATTTAAAGTGGTTCTTTGGATCTGTACAGTATACCTCTCTGTATTATGTTAACTAAACTGCCCTTTAAGGTACTCATTTAGTAATTTTATAATTAATCAATGCATATTTAATTATATTGTAGCCCTTTACAAGGCCAAAAAGTGTGACCTTGGTCAAGACATAAATATTTGACACAACCCTCCAACTAAACAAGTAGGCAATTGTTTATCTGTTTTGGAAAGACTTAAATGTTCACTCAATAAGCAGCATCCCACATGTTTATTTACCAACATTTGACATTAAGTTATGAAACCGGGCTACATTTGAGGTGTGAAATGGAGTTTGCTAAAGTAGATTTCACAGTAAAGGTGTAGGAGTTTATTCCAAGAGCTCAGAGGAATAAGCTTGTCAGGAACACTGACA